AAGCCACTTTTCTCGGCCTTAGACTTGAACCAGGGACTTGGCAGACATGGAAAGAGCTGAATGAAAGAGACGTGGTTGAGAGACCTGTGGGGTGGCTGACAGTGGCCTTTATCTCGACTTGGATTTTGATTTTGCTCTTTTCCTTCTAGACTAGTCTGGCCTCTTCTGCCCTTTCCTATGGGCCCTCACCAGGAGGCACCCTAGACTTGTTCTCAACTGTCAGGCCTTAGTGACCCTGCTTTGGGCCAACCCTGTTGGGCTTAGGATTTTCCCACGAAGGGATAGGTAACTTTTGAGAGCTTGGTATGGAAACCAGTTTAACTATATTCTTTCTCTTCTCTTATTTGCATGCCATTTGTTGCACATGGATTGTACTAAAGTGCTTTTCTCTTGAAGGAAGATCTCATGCACTAGAGTATGTTTCGTCTAGATGCTTTGGAGGGCAGAACCCATTTAGAGCATGCAGGTTTGGGGGTGTTATGTGCCCCTCATTCTGCCTGTTCACAATCCTGTCTCTGACCAGCCAGTAAAAGTAGTTAAAAATAAGACAAAGGAGATCATTTTCCCCCTACTCTGCCTAGAAGATGCGATATTTCCTAATTTGGGGAAAGACAAAATGGCATGAACTGGCAGTAGTTCATGGGTAATCAAGGGCCAATCCCCTAAATAGGAATAATGGCAATAAGGAAAGAGAGGTTAACAGTGTCCATTGATACAAAATAAATTAGGACTACATTCTTCAAGCTGCCTATTTTGTTTAAATAGTGTAATTTATAGTTGGATTTTGCAAGTCCCAGGAGGGGTCGTGTTATCTTGAGAATCTATCTCCACAGCTCTTAGCACAGTAACTGGCCTATAGCAGGTGTTCAAGGGGCATTAGTGCATTGAATGGATGAATTAAGTCACATTGCATGCATGAATTGAGTCAGAATCAAGATTCCTGTAACTAATTGTAGGGCAAATGGTTTGGTAAATGGTTTTTAGGCTTTTCTGCCCTCCCACCTTTAGAATTGCCCTGCTTGATGGGGCACCTGCAGTTGTTACATTGTGCAAACTATCTCGTTTACTTCTGTGGGCCATGGGAGGAGTATAGAGTTAGTCACCTAGAGAAGCAAAAGAGAAGAAGAAACAGAAGAGGCAGGAGAGAGAAGGGGAGAAAAGAAGCCAGAGAAGCCAGGAGTAAAAACTTTCTGGGGCCTTGGAGGCCTGGCAGCCTACTGGCCCCCAGCCCCCCACCCCCCCCACGCCTGCCAGCCATGTCCCTGTTTGTCACACTACATGTAAAGGCCCAATAAAAGCCTGAGAAGCCCTGAGGGCTCCAGGACTCTCCTTTACCCGTCTGCCGGATCATAGATAACCGGATCATAGATAACCGGCTCAGCGCCCATCCTGCCCCTACACTGGTTCAAGCCCCTCACTCCATCATCATGTTCACATGTCCAAGTGTTGTTCAGTCAACTCAGTGAGCTGTAGATTTAATTAACAAGTGTCTGTCACTAGCTAAAAACATCAAGAGGAATATGGCAGAAAAGAACAGAGATTCTTAGAATATGAATCTCTCTGGCCTGCCATTACCGGTTGTTTCCTATCAGAGCAATTCAATGCCACATTCTTCTTGCAGATACAGTGCTAGTTTCTGAGAATACCAGTTTCTGAGAGTGCTAGTTTCTGAGAGTACCTGGTCTTCATGACTCAGAGCTCACTGAGCAATACTATACACAAAAACCAACAAGCAGGGTGAGGGTAGACAAAACCAACCAACATGCATGCACCGCATGTAGGGGAGAGAACCAATAAGGACCTCTCCCAGCACAAGGGGGTCAAGGCAGCCTTCCTGAGGGAGCAGGATGCGGTCTATCTGCAGGGTGTGAATGAGTCAGTGATGTAGGGGAAAGAGCTTACCTGTACCTGGGAGAGATGCCTCCTGCCTCAGCACAGCAGGGAGGTAACCTACTGCCGAAGAGGGTCTGGGCTGATCTGGAAACATTCTGCACTACTAGAAGGCTTGAGACATTCTTGAAGCATTGACTGGGGGGCAAGCAAAATGCTGTTGCTTCAGTTGCTGTTGGTGTTTTATTTTTTACAGACCAGATTTTCATAGGTGCCGTTGTCATTTATCCCATTATGGAAGGGTTCAGCCACCCATATCCTGCCAGTGGTATTCTAGCAACCATTGTCTTCCTCAAGAGATTTTGGATGGGTGGGCATTTTCCCAGAACCATGTCCATTTTGAAACAAAGAGAGCCTTCCTTTTCAATAACTTAGAATTTCAAGTTAGGGTTTGATACGCATATTTTTCTTTTGTCTGAAGGAGGTTTTAACACAAGATTGAAGTTAAGATCCTCTCATGGTAGAGTAAATGTCCCATTTATCCATGACCAGAAACCTCTAAGATCCAAGGATATTTTAAAGGCAAGGGAAGGAAGGTCAGATTGTTTTTCAAAGACATTTGTTTTTGTTTGACCTCACTGAGACCAAGCACTTTTCTGAGACAAAAGACTTCATTCATGGACCATGAAGAAGATAGGAAAAGGGAGAAAATAAGATCTTATTTAGTAGTTTGCCTGTTGCTAGACTCTCATCACAAATCAGAGGTTTGGGCCCCCCTGGTGGCCTAGTGGTTGAGTCTCAGTGCTACCACCACCAAGGCCACTGCTAAGGCCTGGGATGGATCCCCAGCCAGGGAGCTAACCCACATGGCACAGCAGACTTCTCCTGTCTCACCTGCTGCTCGGCTTAGCAGTGGATTTCAGTGGATCTGCCTGATCTGCTCCCCCTCAGCCTCTGGTGAATCTCTCACCGTGCCCCCCTCCGGTCTGTACCTCAGTTCTTCTATGCAAAAATAAATACAATCTTTAAAAAAAAAATCTGAGGCTTGGTGCTTAACTCACAGAAATCTGTAGTCCCACTCTATAGTTTTCTTTTGTAACATTAATTTCAATTAGAAATTTATGTTTTTCAGGTATCTCTAAAATGTGTACAGGCCCAATAAACAATTTAGAAGTTTGTTCAATCAGGGCCTCCCTAGTGGTGCAGTCTGTTGAGCGCTGCACTGTGAAGCTCTCCGCAGCCTCTGCAGTGCGGGTTCGATTCCGGCCGGCCGGCGAGGGTCCCACATGGTGCGGCAGACCTCTCCTGACATGCCTGCTGCTCCCCTCGCAGTGTATTTCAGTCGTCTGCATGTTCTGCTCCCCGCTCTGTCTCTGGTGAATCCTCTCACCCTCCCGCGCCTCTGGACTGTACCCTGGTTCTTGTGTAAATAAATATATCTTTAAAAAAAAAGATTCTGAGAATCAAATTGGTCCTACAGGTTCAAGCTGCACCTCAGGGCTGTGTGAGCCAAGGAGGACACCTGGTTGCCCATCTGAAAGGAAGAGGGAGGGAATGTATTCTCGCCGCCTTTCCTCTCAGAGAAAACTGTCTCAAAGTGACATTGGGTTCAGCTGCCTCAGGGAGAACTACAATGAGAAAAATTAGGTGGTAGGAAAGTGGCCATGATGGAGGAGATTGCAAATTGAGTTTGAGGCCTAGAGTTGGCTCTTGAATAACATGGGTTTGAACTTCACAGATTCCCAGGTTCTGCTCTTGGTTCCTTGTTCACGAATTCAAACAATTCTCAAGGTCATTGAGTTGAATCCAAGGATAGAAACGGTCGATTCGAAATTATTCATGGATTTTCAACTCTTTACAGCCTCCAGATGTGCCCATTCTTTCTGCCAGCCTCCAGGGATGGTGTCACCTGTGCTGTGGCTCTTGAAATCTGAAAGGTATTTTTGGCTAAAAATGACAAGGCTGTAGACACACAGTGACAAAAGTAAATACCAAAGACGTGAGAGTTTCCCTTCCCCCCCAATTCTTTAAAGGCTTATTTTTAACTTTTTCTAGTCCTATTCCCTTAAAATGAGCTCAGGGCTGCCTTTCTCATCGATCCCTCCCTCGAGGAGGGATTGGATCCACTTGCACCCTCTAGGATTCTTTGATTCCTGGGATGGCAGGGGAACCCTCACACAGCCCCTATGACTCCCCACGTAGTGAGGTGTCAGGACTGTCCTCCCACTGCCAGCGCACAGGCCTCTTAGTTCCATGAACAATACACAGGCCGAGAGAGCATCCCTGGGCAACAAATATTTTGTGGAACCTGAAGGAGACAGCTTCCTGGGACCTAGGAATGGGGGCTGATGCCCAGGGTCAGCTTGTGCAAGCAGCCTCTACTGGTTTTCAAGGTCGATCCAGTGAGTTTGCAAGTGCAGAGCCACCCCAGCGTCTGGCCTCTGACATTCCCAGCCCCTGGCCACCACCCCACTTCTAGACTTGGGTATATGCCTAGGAGTGGGATTGCCAGCTTGTTGGGTAAGGTTATGTTTAACACTTTAAGAAACTGCCATACTGTTTTCCAAAAAGGTTGAACCATTCTGCGCTTCTGTCAGCAGCAGCGTATGGCACTTCCAATTGCTCTTCCTCCTGTCAGCATTTGATCTTGTTCTCTGTGCCAGCCAATCTGGTGGTGTGTGAAAGTGCTACATTGTGGCTTTGACTGACATTTTCCTAATGCCTCTGATGTTGAACAGTCTTTTGTGGATTTATTTATCAAGTCTATATTTTCTTGCCAAAGTGTGTGTGTTTTCTTCTTAGTGAGATTTGAAATCTCTATATATTGTGGATAAAATTCTTTCTATCAAATACATGTTTTGCTTTTAGTTTGTACAAATGGATTTGACTCCATTTGTTTTAACCTTTTCTTTTTAGAAACAAAGTTTTACTCTCTGGTTTTCCTAAGAATGCAAAGTGGTTTAATAAATTTAGCACCTGAAGGGGAACCCCAAAGCCTATATGTGTTGCAGACCAGGGCTTCCCCAGAGATTTGAAGCACTCATTGACCAGCGACCTCTGGTTAATCGCCCAGGTCTTTCTGGCGCTGACATTGTAGGAAGTTGTGCACCTCTGATTCGCCTCCCCTCAGGCTCCTCCCCGCCTTCACAGAGAGATTCTTCTCCTTTCAGCTCTCTCTGCACTGGTGGCTAAAGCAGCACAGCCCCATCTCTCAGTGTGGAGCTGCCCAGGCAGAGGGCTCTGCAGCCTGAGGGGAGACACCCAGAGGAAGAGGATGGGGAACTCTCTTCTAAGGGAGAACAGGTGAGTCCAGATCCCCTGAGAGATACCTGGAGGGTTGGCCTGGTCAATGCAGCCAGAAAAAGAAAACGAGATGTGTTCTTGGGAGGTGCCAGTGGGAATTGGGTAAAAACTGGCCATAATGAAGTGCATACTGTGTGCTGTACCTGACAAGTCCAATTCTTCATAAATTTGGGATATATTGGCCTTCCTGCCTGTAATCACAGAGAGCAGGGAGTGGGGAACAACTGAAAGATGAAATAACTTTATCAAGGGAGGTCTAGGGAACACAGCACCACCCAAGAGATGAAAGACTTTCTGAAGGCCAGGAAGGGTTGCTTTCCTGAGCTCTTACTGCCCCACAAGAAGTTCAGAGATACCACCACTCTTTCAGTCACACAAAAGTTCAAAATAGGGCTTCTCAGTGGCACAGAGGGTTGAGCGCAGCGCTGTGGAGCTGTCCGCAGCCTCTGCAGTGTGGGTTCCATTCCCAGCCGGCCAAGGAGATGCCCAAGTGGTGCCGCAGACCTCTCTTATCTCGCCCGCTGCTCCCCTCAGCAGTGTTTTTGGTCCATCTGCCTGTTCTGCTCCCTGCTCTGTCTCTGGTGGATTCTCTCACTATCCCGAACCTCTGGCCTTTGCCCCAGCTCTTGTATGGATAAATAAATCTTAAAAAAAAAAAAAGTTCAAAATAAATAACAAGCTTCTAGCCAATGTGCGGCTTCGTCCATTGCACTCTCTCGGCAACAGGTAAACAGAGGCCATCAAATTTGGTGAAGAAATTGGCTTGACGTGACTTTCTGGACCTCAGTGTTCTCATTTTAAATGGGAACAATATACAATCCCTACCTTGGAGGGATTCTAGTGCATGCAATGATATCATAGTGCCAGACACGTGGTAAACGTCAATAATTAGATATTTTCTTTCAGCCATTCCGTCACTAACATCAAAGCAGCCATTGTAAAAATTATCACCCCCAATCAAGGTCACAGGAATCCTTAAGGTACAGAGTGAGGTGGTCTAGGAGAATGGGCTAGCCAGAGGGGGTCTTTACAAGATTGTTTGGTCCAAGTCTCAGTTTGTGACTGGGAGCTGGGACCTAATATATCCCCCACTAAAAGGAGGTTTAACAATGCTTCTAAATGTCCCACATTCCTTTCTGAGAGTCAATGTGTCCGAGACTTCCACTGGATCTTCACAGCCCTTTATCAGCCTTCAACTCTACATTTTTATCAGATTATAAATCTTTATTTGGGGCCTCCCCGGTGGCGCAGCGGTTGAGCGCTGGGTTGCGAAGCTGCCCGCAGCCTCTGCAGCAGTTCGATCCCCAGCTGCTCCCCGTCCACCGGAGGAGGGTCCCGCATGGCGCGCAGACCGGTCCCGCATGGCGCGCAGACCTCTCCTGCTGCCCGCTGCTCCCCTCAGCAGTGTACTTCGGTCCTTCTGCCTGCTCTGCTCCCCGCTCTGGCTCTGGTGAATTCTCTCACCCTCCCACGCTTCTGACTGTACCCAGTGCTTATATAATAAATAAATAAAATAAATCTTTAAAAAAAAAATAAATAAATCTTTATTTGTATGCCTAAATATAAGCTCCTCAAATGTAGAAATTTTTCTTATTCATTTTTGAACTTTTATTTCTGGCATGCAGTAGGTACACAATAAGTGTTAGATGAATGACTGGCAATGTAAAGAAATAAATTACTTGAGAAGAAAAATAAAACAAAACACAAATATGAGCGAAGTGAGAAAATAGTGATTGATGTCATGTTTGAAATTTTGTTTTTAAAATTTTGGTGTGGGAGTGAAAGATAATGACAACATATGTCAGTTGGAAAAAAAATGGAAAAAGTATAAACAAGAAAATAAACTAGCAAATCAGCTATTTATTATTTTCATTTTAATATCTCTATCAGCCATTTATGGCTAATTATGTGTCATCCATGAAGAGCTAGTGACATCTTTTGCCCATTTTCTTTGGACTTAGGTCTATTTTGATTTATTATGATTTTGATTTATTATGATTTGTATTATTGATAGCAAAAGGCATTTGTACTTTTGGAGAAATTGGCTCTTTATCAAAATTATTATGAAAACTATGTTTCCATAGTGTCTTCTTTTTTATACTTTATTTTATTTTAAACAAAACTGTACTAAGTCTAGAAAACCTTTGGTTTCTGCCATTGCATTTATGTTTAAATTCTTTCCCCATCCCAACAGGAGACAAATCCCCAGTTTAGCTTTCTATGGCTTCATTGTTTTCGTTTCGCCCCATACAGTCTATAAGTGGTGTCAGATACAAATGCAACTTTTCTGAAAAGTTAGTTAACCCAGAATCTTCATTTCCATGCTGATTTAAAATGTCTCCCTTAACATACTCAAAAATCGTGTATTTAGTTGGATCTCATTTTCACCTTCACCCCTACCACCCAGTTATCATCCAGCATACCCCTACCATGTCTGTGCATATCAAATTTAAATATTTTTTAAGATTTATTTATTTATGCATACAAGAACTAGGGTACAGGTCAGAGGTGTGGGGTAGGGGTGAAAGGATTCACCAGAGACAGAGTGGGAAACTGAAACCAGGAGGATTAACTGAAATACACTGCTGAGGGGAGCAGTGGGCGAGTCAGGAAAGGTCAGCTGCACCATGTGGGTCACCTCCCTGGTTGGGGATCAAACTCGTGCTGCAGTGGCTGCCAGTAGCTTCATAGGGCTGTGACTAACCCTTTGCAACACCAGGGAGGCCCTGTGAAGATCATATTTATTATAAAGTTGAAGAAATTCCCCCAAAGAGTAGACTGGCACTTACCTTTCACAGAGGAAAGAATCTGCCAGAACCAAACCCAGCCTTTCCCACTACTGGTTGTGAGTTCTTGGACAATTTGTCTCACATTTTTTGGCCTCCATTTCCTCAACAAAAAATAGAATGATAGCATCTACTTCATGGATTTATTCAGGCATTATATAAAATATATACAACATATAGTTTGTACACATTTAGTTAGAAGTATAAGTAGCAAGTATACATGGTATATATGTATACACATGCAGTGTATTTAGTGTTACATATATTATGGTAAGTAGTAAGTATAGTATATATATGGTACGTATAGTAAATAGCAAGCATATCATTAGTGTTAATTGAGCATTTCTTTCCTCCATAACCCTAGCACCCGCAAAAGAAAAGATGGCTATACAGACACTCAGCCCAAACAATGAAATAAATGAATTTATCTTATTTATTTAAACCTTTGTTCCCAAGGTTTTAGCCTTCATGCTTTGTGTAAAAGAAGGTGATTTACATGAGATGAGGCCAATACCCTTTTGTGTTCCAAGTACAGCCCCTAAAACTGCACCAAACAGATAGGTCTGTCCACACACTGATATTCTTGGGATCATCACAAGGTCTTCCAGACATATGGGAGTAAATGATTTAGGATGGATTGCATATGGAGACTTTGGAGAACGTTGGTAGACTAGAGCTGTGGCAATACAGAAAAGGGCAGATCAAAGATAGACTGTGGCCTATACTTCAGAAGGGCAATTTAACAATGTGAGTGCCAAGGGGAATTTCCGTATCAACACAAATATCCAGTATCAGGTGATTCCAGTATCAACACAAATAAGAGAGATGAGGAAACTTGGAAAAATTATGAAGTCAGGTGGGAAACCTAGAGAGGAAAGGCTTGGCTTATTCCTTTGTTGTTTTAAGTGGCAGTGGAAAACTCAAGAGGTAATCTGGAATCTGGGAAAGTAAAACCCCAGAGACTACCCAAGTAAGAGCAAATCCAACAAAAGACTTCCATCTTTGCCCAGGAAGAACGGAGCCTTCAAATCCTGGACTTCACAAACCCACATGAAGACAGAGAATAAAACATTTTGAAGCTTTGACAGGAGATGTGATGCTTGGTTAGGCACCAAACCCTTATCACAGGAAATCAGACCCTCATTACCTGTTGTGTCTTTGTCTAGCTCATGTACCTTTGTACTCGAGCTCTGTCTTGGCCATTTCATTTTTAAGCTCCAAGCTTCTATTTCTGAGGTGATAACCACATCCCCCTTGTCACTACAGTTGTTGAAAGGTTTGTGGAGAGAATCATTTGTGATTACCCGAGTGCAGTTAAACCAAGTCTTTCTCATCAAACCTTTCAAGTGCATGGAGTCATTAAAGTATGAAACTAGTATCAGGGTCCAAGAATCCTAAAGGGTGGCAAAGCTGATTGTTCTGTGGCTCATAGAGTTTTCCTCACCCTTCCCATGATTTCAGAAGGAGCCAAGGCCTGTGTTAGGAATTGAGGCCCCCTGAAAAGGATGCATTTCCACAGTGCAATCTAAGGATCATATATCAGTATTTGGGGGAGGCATAACAAGACATATGATAAATCATACAAATGCTGGAACAGGCTAGAAGGACCATATATAGAGAAGAGAGAAACTGAGTAGACTGGGGATCCAAGATCCTCAGTTAAGATACAAGAACCTGGAATTGCTGGCATGTGGTCGGGTGCCATTGAGATTCCCCCTTCATCCCAAACTAAAGCATCCAAATTGAAATGCAAGAAACTATAGCAGAAAAGTTAAGTGGGTAAAATAATCAACTTACAAATAGCTATTTATATTTAACTTTATTTGACACAATGCTTCCACGAGGGAAGCAACAGAGGTATCCTCATTTTATAAAATGAGAAAGTGTGGCTTCATAAACCTACATCCAGTAACTCAAAATCCACCATCTCTTTCCTTCTCACTCCTGTTTCTCCTCAGCGATCTGGATTTCTTAGCATCAATGTTTCTGTGATTTCCTTCCAGTTTTTCTTTATCCAGAAGATATAAATTAAGCACTTAACTCTGACTATATCCTGAAGTAAAGGAAGAACTGCCTCCCTACCTCTCAGCCCCAAAGGTTCTTATGATTCTAGATCCTGGAGGCTGTCAGAACACAGCCATACTAGTACCCACAGCCAAGGTCACATGCAGCAGCCTCTCTTCCACTGCCTTTCTGAGGGAAATCCCTGGGAAAGTTCACTGGAGGGGATATTTTTGCATGGTAATTTCCAAATGTTGTTACCTGGTAAAACTGTTATGTACAGATCTTTACAAAGGGCTTTTTGATCATTGGATGATCTCCTGAGCTAGAGTTGCTCTGTCCATGGCTACTCAATCATTTATCAAATATCTATTTTTACTGGGCTCTGAGTACTGTGGCATGTGTTTATGACACATACCATGATGAATAGGTATGTTCCCTGATCTTGTGAAGTTGAACTTCTGATGCAGGAGGACATAGACATATGAGCAGAAGTTATAGTGTGGCATAAATAGCATAAATTTGGAGTGCAGTGGAGTCCTTTAGAAATATTGCTTAATCTGTACCTGAAAGAAGTTTCTAGAATACCCACATGCTTGTACCTTGATTTCTTGGAGATAACTCTTAATGTTCTTCATCACAAGGGGCCAAATAAACCACTGGGATTGGGAACAAGCAAGTCCTTTCCCTTAACTGGGAATACAGCAGAAATTTCCTCTTCTAGCTAGGAGTTGACGGTGTTATTTTTATATTTCCAGTGTCAGTTACAGTCATGGGTGTCAGGGGTGTGCTAGCATGGTAGGTAAGCCCAAGTCACCCAAGATGAACACTCTGTTGGGGGGAAAATGATTTTCCACAGAAATGGCAAAGTGGGGGGAATCACCCTAACAACCTGCAGAAACAAACCTTGTGACTGGTGTCACCTCTCGGGTATTTCAGGTGCTGGGACTGCCACATGGCTGAAGGGTGTGTCTGCCTCCCGTGGTGAGTGGAGAATTGTTTTCAGAAGTTACTTCCCTAAGTGTGGCTTCAATGTGGTATTTACTGTAAGTAGCCTCTGAACTCCCTGTTGGCTGTGGTCACAGAGGAAACCTGTTGCTAGCCCAGACACAATCGTCAGGGAAGTGACGCTGCATGTTCAGTAGGTAACAGGAACGGTCGTCTCAAGGGTGGATCGTGCCACTCACAGGACAGCAATAATGAAACTGGCTGCCAATGTAGAAAAAGACCCTCAATCGCACTGAAAGTCCTGGAGTCTCCTAGTGCAGAAGCACACCTTTCTGTCTCTAGCACAGAGAACTAATAGCCAGGGTAATTGTATAATTCATAGAATTTTGAAAGTGAAAGGTGTGATAAAATAGCGAAGGGTCACTGAGTGCTTGATAATGACACTAACCAAGCTGTCTGAACAAATCAGGACATGCGGTCATCCTCACAGCAGGTGCTGCTCTTGTCTCCTGAGATGATAACAGGCTCTTGTTATATTTATATTGTGTTTTTCCGGGATCATTTACACAGGGAAGTTACTTTTGAGCTCAGCTAGGAAGAAGCACTTATTTGTTTGCTTGCTTGCTTGTTTGGAGATGTTGCATTGGAGATTGGGGTTGGAAATAACCATGGCTCCTAAATCACTTGATATTTTATCAAGGAAATCGATATTTTATCAGAAAAAAAATCTCCAAAAAGTTACTTATCACATTACCATTGTTCTCTGCCTATAAATAAATTCCATATCAGACTTTAAAAAGGCAGAATAGGGCAGGGTAGAGAAAAAGAAAGAGAGAGCGAGAAGGAGAAAGGGGCAGAAGAGATTTCCACTTGGACTCATCCTTCATTGTACCTTTTTCTAGCCTGTTATCTCTCTGTGCTGAAGGAGGTACTATAAAAGGTCTACAGCCTTAAAAAATTAGAGTTAAAAGTAAGTTTTTATAGATGAGTTTCCTTTGAGAGTTTTTGGAGATTGAAATACCGTATTTACTTTATTTTTCTTTTACAGGAAAAAATTACACATATTTAAAGCAAGGCAAAATTCCCTAAAGGAAAGTAAGTTACAGCTTCCAGATCAATTTCACTTTTGATGGTGTACACTTCCAAACTGCCCCTTCTCTGTGCTCCCAAAGCCCCTTGGGCATATTCTAGTATAATTCTTTCACATTTTGCTGCCATTTGTCCAGTTGTCTGTATCTTTTTCTCTACTCAACGGTGAGCTCCTTGAGCTCCTTATCCCTCGGTTAGTCCCTGAGGCCTGGAAACTCAAAAAGTTAACTGAGGACAATAAAAGCAAAAGGTAGGGGTAGAACTACTTAGAAGGAACTTCAAAAAGACCAGTGTGAGCATGGAGAACACAGAGGCTGGACAGGGTCTTGTCAAGGTCAGAGTTGAGCACTTTGTCTGGACAGATGCAAGAGGTCCTGAAAGAATTTAAACAAGGGGCATGATTAAAGGCATCACCCAGCTTGCTTCCGAGAACAGATTATAGCTACAAGAGGCAAGAGTGATGCTGGAAGACCACCTAGGAGGCTGACGCAGTGTTGTTCGGTGACAGATCAAGGGTGAAGTTAAGGAGACAGAATTCAAGGATGAGGGGGTGGTGAAGACAGGCCACTGCATTTCTAAAGAAGAAAACAAAAGGAGTCTTGCTATTGCCTTCCTAGGTTTCAGAAAAGAGCCCAGTTCATTCACTCTGAATTTTAAAATTAGCTCTGGAATGCATGTAAATAAAAATACAAACTTCATACTCCTATTTCACCCAGGGGAAACATGGGCCCCCAGAAGCCCCAATATGTACCAGATCAGAACATAGTAGGAGTAAGACCTCTAATGCCAAAACTCTTGGACCTTCTTCCTGTAGGGATAGTCAGGGAAGTCCTAGGGCCATTGGAATCTGTGCAGGCATGAGATCTGAGATGCCGGTCCTTATTTATCGTATGGATAAATAAGATGGCTCACAGGGGCACCCCCACCTCCTGAAGGGTGGCTTCATGAGGCTTCCATAGGTGTGTTTGCAAGAGGGTAGCAAGTATATCCATTTACCTCTTGGCTGAGTGGCCAGAGGCCATTGTTTTTAAATAGTAAATTGGCTATTGAAAAAGTGTCTTGTTTCTGCCTGCAAGTTCAGGAATGGGAATGCTCAGCTTAAAAGTTTCCTCCTCTGCAAATCTTTCCTTGAGCACCACTGCTACCATCAACACACTGCTACCATCAACAGTAGAAGGGAGAGCCTTTCTCTGCTCTCTCTTCAGCCCTTGTCTGCCTCCTTAGTTAACCTGTGAGGCCCACAAGGACAGAGACTGTTTTGTCTTTGTTTTTGAGGCCTTCTTTGTCTCCCTATGTACATGGTACATAGCAGGTATGCATTGAGTTTTATGTAAGGTGGGACAGGGAGAGAGGAAGAAGGAAAAGGCCCAACTATTATTTCCTATGCAAAACCCATCAAAAATTTTTCCCTCCATTCTCCATCTGGCCACTGAGTGCAGCTGTGCCTGTTAGCTTGTGCCTCGCTCCTCAGAGATGTGCCGTAGGTCAAGATTAGCTGATAAGGGCTGCTGCAGCTGCTCCTTGGCTCGTGGGTTGCTTATTTCTGCCTCCTCATATCTCCCCATGAGCAAAAATTCATTGACTGTATTTTCTTTCTCCAGATGAAGAAATATCGTCTCCTCCCACCCAGGTAATAAATTCTCTGAGTCTTTTGGTAAAAATGCAAACACCCCAGATGGCAGAAGTTGACTTCTAGGGTCCCTTCTGATATTAATATGAATGAAAGATTTTGTTTGTGTGTATGTGTGCGGTCTATTTGTATTTTATCTTATTTAATTGATAATATTTCATTACACTGTACATATCAGGTGTATATCACTGAGAATCAATGTGTATATATAGAAAGACTTTAGATGCCAGTGTTTATGAGCCCTGGGCCTGTATGGAGGAACTGTTGCAAAACAATAGCCACTTCTGTTATGCAACTTATTGATAGGAACTGATAGGTATTGAACAGTTGGTTTATGCCAGGCAGTCATCTGAGTGCTTTGCATACGTCATCTCATGTAACCCTCACAACAACCCTGTAAGACTGGTACTGTAATTTCTCCCAATTTACAAGCTAGCTCTGGAAGTGGGCTGCTCTGCTCAGTGGTGGGAAGGGCTCCCTGCTCCCCTATGGCTATGTGCCACAAGAAGTACCTCTCCTTCCCAGGCTCTTCTTATAAAATGTCCCTGTGATTGTTCTCTAGGTCACAAGAAAGCTTCACTCATCATACCAAGTACACACTTAATCTTTCAAGTTGCTGAGAGACTAAGTGGTCATCCCCCATAGCCAGACAGCTGACAAGATGCAGGGCATGAATCAAGACCAAAGCCCACTTTCTTTCCCCTGTACTTTGCTGCTCTACTTTTTATCTTCCAAGATTCCATTGAATGTTTCTCTTTTTAATACTACAAATTCCTTTAAATGGGTGGTTAAATATCACAACCAATCACTTTAAGATGCCATCAGATTCATCTTGGGTATCAAAATAGGCTGCTGTCAGGACCCTGAGACTTTGGGAATATATGGAGAGGTCAGGGGTCTCTCCAGAACACCAGGCAGAAACAACCAGATGGGATAACCCCCTGGGCCAGCATGAGCAACTGCTGGTGAGCTAATGGCTGGGTTGGGTCGCCATTTAGCAATGATGGCCAAGAGATAGAGGGGAGGTGGTAGTGGAAAACTTTGCCCAGGTTGCCTGTGTTGAGACTTAAGCATGAAGGGAATGGAAAGAGGCTAATCTTGATAAGGTTCTCCTTTGCTGATCAGGGCCACGATGACCAGAGTTCCACAGAGGATCTGTGCTACACTGTCATCCACCACAGTATCCCCAGGAGAAGGCCATCCGGGAATTCTGCTGAGGAGTTCTATGAGAATGTTTCCCGCAAGCCTGAGAAGCCCAGAAAGTTGTCGGGAGAAACAGAGACAGAGTATTCTCTTGTCCGGGTGACTTGCTCCCCCGAGCACACACCTTCTGCAGAAGAGGAATATGAACTTCTCATGCCTGATAAAATCTCTCACTCCCTGCAGCAGCCACGTGTGCGCTTGCCTTCTTCTGAGACTCAGTTTTCCCATTTATAATGAAGCGGTTGGAATAACCCTTGTTTAACACCAACAAATAAAAGCTGGGGGCAGGGGACTTCGGTGGAAGCAGGTGTGGAGCACCCAACCCTTCCAGCTGCCCCCCTCACACACACTATAGCTCTTCCTGAGGCATCTCTGCAGGACGTGGTTGACAAACCACAGAGACTCTTAGATCCTGCTCAATATCCAACAGCCAAGGATCAACCAAATATTTTACACACCAGTCTTTGAGAAAGGAGTGACCATCTTTGGTTGCAAGTTGTTTTGGAAATGGGCTGTTCTGCTCGGTAGTGGGAAGGGCCCCCTGGTCTTCTATGGCTGTGTGCGCCACAAGAGTTCTCCTTTGTCTAGACTCTTCTCATAAAATGTCTGTGTCATTGTTCTCTGAGGACACAGGGAAAATTCACCCATCATACTGAGTGTAGCCCAGGCTGTCCATTCCTTGTGTTCTGACTCAAGCCTTCGCTCATAGCCTTCCAGGGGGCCTCCTGCAGTGTCCTCCTGTTCCGCTCCTCTCAGCAGAGTCCTTTGCAGTGTTCTTGACTCATTGACCCTCATGGTGTGTTTGGGTTGAAATCAGAAATTCCAGGTCAGGTTTTACATAATTTTCTACATGATTTAAACCCATTTAAACAAACAAACAAACAAAAAAAACCTTTAGGGGCCTCTCTGGTGGTGCAAGGGATTAAGTCTCAGCACTATGAAGCTATCCACAGCCACTGCAGCACAAATTCAATCCCCAGCCAGGGTGGTGACCCACATGGTGCAGCAGACCTCTCCTGCCTTACCCGGGCTCCCCTCAGCAGTGTATTTCAGTAGACCTGCCTGTTCTGCTCCCCACTCTTTCTGGCGAATCCTCTCAGTCCCCACACCTCTGGTCTACACCCCAGTTCTTGTATGCATAAATAAATAAATAAATCTTTAAAAAAAAACTTTATATTTCTCCCCTGAAATTTTAATAAGAAAATCATCCAGAGCCTGATGTCCTGGCTTCCAATTCAGTGTGCTCCCAAGATTCTACATAAAAGAACCTGTGTCATATGATAAACGTATTTGTGTCATGAATAAAATTTCCACATGGAAAAATAACCCCCTACACACTCCTCTAATGAATGCTTCTCTGTATACCATGACTACTTATTTTCTCATTTTTTCTTCAGTGCTCATAGAAAATATGTCTCAACCCTAAATCAGGGGTCAGCAATCCGTGACCTTCTGGCCAAATCTAACCTCCTGTTTTAATAAATAAAACGTTATTGGAACTAAGCCAGGCTCACTTGTTTACATGTCTTCTACAGCTGCTCAACCACAGAACAGAGTGCTTTCGACAGACGTAGGTCCTGCAAAGCCAAAAATAACATTTTAGTGACTTAATAAAATGACAATTTATTTCCCATTCACACAGCAACATTACTGATGACTCTTGCTGATGACTCTTGTTTTTAATGTTGGTTAACTTTTTAAATTCAAATTTTAATGATTTACCTTGCATAGCTATATAACTTTGGGATTTCAGCTTTACCCTGGACATGTGCATGTCTCACTCACCTGCCACAAGAGCTCCTGCCCCACTACACTATTTCATGACCTTTCTTCTCTGGTGGCCACCATACTTGTCACACAATATAAGAATTAACAAAAAATATTGTTTGGACATTTTCAGAAAGGTAAGTAGGCAGATTCCTGCCCTAGACAAACATGCTTAGAATATATCTGATTATAACTCATAAAAGCTTTTATTAATAAATGATGTGGAAATATTAAACCATAGATTAGATAAGAACAATTACTAAAAGCAATTAGCAAATTAAACTATTTTTGTATTCGTATCTGTGATTTCAACTTCCTTTTATTTAACCCATGACCACATTCTTTATTTAAGGAATGCTAAAATAGTTGAGTTTTGTTGAGACAAGCCATAGGTGCATTGTGTCTAACTACTGTTCTGTCCTCAAAAGTAACCAAAGTTAAATAACTTTGCTATTTAAAATGTGCAAAGTACCCAGTGGGGATAAACCCAGTGATTTGAGGTTTGATGTTGTCAACACAGTTTTGCTAAGACTTCAACCATCCGCTGATGGTTTTCAGCTAAAGATTCCACTCTATCCTGATATCTAGTCCTTCATTAACTTGCTGTTTTTAGCAAAATTCTTTCACCAGGAAGCCTAACTTTGACCTTTGATCTGGATTCTTTCAAGTTCAAAGGGAGGCATGTGTGGAAGCAAGAGATACTGTAGGAGATGTAATATGGGTCTAGAGGCTTAGGGGAAAACTATGGAGACAAGTCAACATAATCAGTGATTCAAATCCTGGTTCTATCTTTTCCTCATTCTGTGACCTTCCGCATGTAAATTGGAAGCTTAGTTTTTTGACCCATTCAGTGGAGGATTATATCTAACGTATCATCTGCCATAGACCTTGAATAAATGATATCAAAAGAGCAAAAGGAAACAAAACTCTTTAGGATGCATGGAGAAAAATAATGTGCTGATGTGTCTCAAGACGCAGGGTCATCTGGTAGACTTCAGAAAAGCAGAAATACAAAATGGCCGGGTTCTATATTAGAGTCGTTTACTTGGAAATTGGTCCATCGTGGAAGTTGATTTAAATGTACAACATGGTATTTGTTCAGATCTTATCCTATGGATGTACTGCCTGTCACAAATAGTATATGCTGTTTGTCAGGAACATGTTAAATATAAATTTTTAGCCAAAGAATGTTGTTGTCTTATAATGAAATTTAGAGGGGTTATGAAAGGGAATTGTTTAATAGCAAGAGAGGCTTGGGGGGGGGCTTTGAAGTGCTTAATATTTCTGTATATAATGCTGACCAATTTTTCCACAGATTTCAGGATTACTGATGAAAGTTTGTGTCCCCGCTTCACAGAAAATGCACATCTACCTTCCCCTGCTCCCCCAAGCACACACACACACATTATTTGTACACAATTTCAAGGTGTTGCAGATGCTAACTTTCAGTTTGAGAATCCCTATTCTTCATAAAGAAACTGAGGTTGAGCACTTAAATTGCTCCCTCAAGTCATAAATAAGATTAAAAAAAAAAAAAAAACTCCCCTCCCCTGTGCTGGTCTAAAACCCGTCCATAGCCAAAGTTCACAGAGGCACATTTTACGCGCCACTGCAGGCTCTGTGGTTTCCGTTTCACGTTCATACTAGCACCTATAAATAATCCCTTAGTCAGTAAATAAATCTTATTTAGAACTGAAAACTACCAAAAAAGGGCAAGCCTAGGTCAGGAAAATCTACAGTTAACAACAAATTTGAATGTCATGCTTGTAGGACACCTGGTGTGGCAGGTGCATCAAATATCCTCAGGGGTGGAAGGGCACAGGTAGACAGGCACCATGTGTCACCGGGGCTCCACAGGAATCTGCAGAGAAAAGGAGAGTCTGTTTACATTCATTCAACTCTATTCCTGTCCAAGCCAGCCTCTTGCCTTCAGAAAGCTGTTCGAAAGCCACTTGATTTAAGCATACGTTGGTTCTGCCAACTGTCAAATGGGTCAGTGAGAGTTCCCCCTTTTCCTAGAGAGGGCGACAGGGAAGCAGTGAGTGTCATTATCATCCCCAGAGACTCTCTACAATCTAATGATGCACCTCTCAACTCATCTCTTGGCCCTCACCACTTGTGACCTTGTGGACTCCCACAAATCTGCCCAGCATGAGCTGAGCATGCCCCTGGGATGCCCACCAGGTAGGAGGCCATGGGTGGTGCATGTCCAGTGGGCTAAGAATTGCTCCCCAGAAATGTGGAATCTAGGCTGTTGTTCCACATCCTCAGAGCTAGGCTTCCTAAGTCTAAGACAAAGGGGCTGCCTTCTGATGCTAAAAGTACATAATCTCTCAGAAAAGAAGTAAATGAAGTCCGCGAATGCAACTGCTAGCAATGCAGTTTAAATGTGAATTAATTTGTAAAACAGTATTGGGAACAGAGAAGGGAAAACAGATTTCTCCCACTTTTCTCAGCACTGATCAGATTCTTCATGTCCATATCTAGAGTCCACATCTAAGGGGAAGGAGAGAATGGAGCCTCCTCCTCCTAAGAGATGTGTTAAGGAAGGTAAAACTGTATTCAAATCTCACCATAGGCTCTGGGTTCAGCTTGAGTCCCATGTCCTAGGCACAGCTTCTCCATTACACTATAAAGACCACTGCTTTCTGACCCCCCACAACCTTACAGTTTCTCTTTATCCACTTTAACACCTAGGTTTTTTTTGTTTGTTTGTTTGTTTTGTTTTTACCTGTTTCATCTGTGTTGATCCCTCCCCAGCTTGACTCCATAATGAAGTGACAAGCTGCTTCGCTTTTTATTACAGTCTTTGTCTTCATCGGTCTCTCCTGCAAACACATCATTAGAAAATCTATGAAACTAAACAGACAGGCAATGAAGAGTTGGGCCAGTTTACAGACAGGGCTCAGGTTGGGAAGTTTTATGCTTTCTGTGCATATATAAGTCACTTCCAGAAAAGAGCAGTTTTTCTTCTCAAATCCTTCATTATTTCACGGATGTGTTGAAGCCTTATTACGCAGCTGGCATGCTGCTCATTGTCCAGATGTGTGACCACCAGCAAATCCCTCCCACAGCACAGCCAAGAGCATAGTCTGCTCTTCAGTTTTATTTTCCAGTTCAGTTCTGCACGGTCAATGTGGTCCTCAAATATTACATACAATAGGATATTTTGAGAAGCCACATGTTATTATACCATTTTGCTGTAATTGTTTTATTTTATTATTGTTGTAAATTTTGCCTACTCTACACAGGTAGGGGTATATGTATATATATGTATATATAGGGGAAAACACCTATATAGGGTTCAGTGCTATCTGTGGCCTCAGGAACCCCATGGATAACGGGCGACTGCTGCCTATGCAAGCGCTATCTTTCCCCCAAACCTCAAAATGCTTTGATCACAAAGTTCAGTTCTTTCCACATCACTAGGGCAGAAGGTCAAACCTATAGAAAATCCCCTCTGTGACTTGGAATGGTCAAAACTCCAGGAATTACTTGCACCTTGGTGTTTTCCAAGTGAAAAGCAAAGAGCAAACCCAAACCTGTCCCACCTCCAGAAAGGAGCCAGCCCTTCTCCCAACCCCAAACCCTTTAGACAACGGATTCTGTCAGGGAGAGCGCCAGAGGAAGTGCAAGGAGAGGGGTCTCCCTACTCTCAGTGGAATACAGAAGAAGACTGTCCACCCAACCCGCCCACTCCGGTTCAATCTTATTCACTCAAAAAGGGAAGCTGGCCTCAGGAAAATGGAAAAAAAATCACTTCCAACATCATTTACTACCAGAAAACACCAGCCCAGTTCACAACCCTGGAGAACCAATACTTACGAAGCAAATGTGAATACAACAATGTGGATGCAAAAATAATTTATTGTAAATATTTTTAAATCTTTCTCCATAAAAGTCTTATACTCTGTTCAGCAACGTGCAAACACTATGGTAACATTTCACATGTAAAAAATAAAGAGGAAGAAGGGAATTTCACCTGCTTTGCTAGTTTGAGGAACTATGCATAAATGCATAAAATGAGACGCCAGCTTACAATAAATTTGTCTTTAAGTTAAATAAGAAAGGAAATTCACATTATGCAGAGTCCTGGGTCACAGAGAATTCAAGTCCTGCCCAGCCAGAGACACACTCTCGGGCACATCCCACGCGTGCCTGCCCCTCATACATGTCCTACCAGAGACATAAGTATTAGGGCGGTGGCTCTCACTACATGACCACAAAACTCTCTCCCCTGTAAAATTTCCAGAAAAACAATTTTTACAACAAAACAAATACTCTGTTCCCTGATGATAGGAAATTAGATATCTGTAGATGACAAGTATAGTTACCAACATTTTCCCCATTCCCCCCCCCAAAATTGGCATTAAGCTTCTAATAGTTTATTTCAGACAGAGTAGTTCTTCCTATTTCACAGCCATCCTCAGTAAGACACACGACTGATGCCTGAGGAATCTGACAGGAGGCTGGCAGCCCCAGACAGTATAAATTCAGTGGGCGAGAGCCACAGCAGATGGTCAGCAGAATTAACGATACTCTCATGGAAGCATGTGAAAATACAAACAGGGGAACTATCCTAAATCATCAGAGACTGTTCCGAACTCATAAGGAACTTTCCAAATGAGGCATTCAAGAGAAGAGGGAACAATGTGGAGAGGCAAAATGAGTAAGAAATGCACCTTATTTCTCTAACTGTATCTACCACCATGACATTGCCTGCCAGTCACGTATCTATCGGGAGTGTAGGTATAGGACAATGCTGGTCGGGTCTTGAAAAGTGCCTTCCTTGTCCTCACAGCTTCCCTTAGAGGTAGATCAAAGATAATGGTGTGAGGAAGGCGAGTGGGGGATTTTAGTGGACAGTTGGCTCCATTCTCCCTCACCCGGCTGCCTGACTCCTCCTGTTCTCTTCTCTTCCCCAGCACAGGTTAACAGGATTCAGTGTGAAAGGCACTAAAGAGAATGTCCTCATGTGGGTGGAGACAGGTAGTCGGCAAAGACAGTGGTGACCTCCTGTGCACCCACCCTCTGGGTCACCGTGTCCCATGCGGCTTCCTGCCTTTGCCAAGACTGGCCCCAACTGAGGCAGCACACGCTTGTCCCTTCCTGGACATAGAGCCAGACTTGGTAAGCGTAGAATCATGAGGAAAAGGGCAGTCTACCCCTGTAGTCACTGCTGAGTCCTTCTGCGTGAATGCACAGATTTTTTTCTGTAAAATGAAGGGAATTCTCCTCTCCAAAACTCAGCAGGCTCTGCTTTCAGTCACAGAGCAACTCGAGCACTCATTCTGAAAAGAAAGTAAAGGCAAAAGTCACTCATTTTTTTGGTAATCATGATTAAACATTTATGTTTTTATTTGATTTCACTAGGTTCTAATAGAAACTCTATTTAAAATTGAATTAGTTGTAAATTCCTAACAGAGAAAACTGACCGTCCCTTCAACACCCACACACAGCTCGAAAACTTACAGAGAGGCACAGGGTGTGAGTGCTCTGTCTCTGCCTGTGCTCTTGGCAGCTGTGTTAAACAGGCAGAGTATCTCCATATTAGAGAATGAGAAAAACAAACAAAATTCCTCAGGAATCCAAACTACAACTATTTTAAGGTTTTGACTCCCTATAGATAGACAGAGAGAGAGACAATGATAGATGAATAGATCTGACTCACATCCATACATGTAAACCCCAGAGAATACATGGAATTCTTGAAATTGTAAAATTTAGTGTAGGGGGAGAAGAAATATGTGTATTTTTTCCTGGGCAGAAGGTACAGGCTATCTTTAAGCTTCCTGCTGGGGATATGAACCCAACAATTTTTAGATTCTCTGCTCTCTGAAGAATTAAAACATTATGTTTGTGGAAAACTGAGATGCCTAGTTCATCACGGGGAGTGAGGTTACCCGCCAAACCCACGCTGACATGGGAAACTGGCCTAACACCCACTGGGTTCCACTGGGTCCCTCCCCAAGGCCTCTGCCTATCCCTCCACATCCAGTTCTTCCTACTCTTTGTGTAACAGAGGATGCCAACGAAAAGGGGAGGGCCCAGGGTCCCTGCCCCACCCAATGAGGGCCAGAGCTGACAACCAGGTGAGGATATAGAACACTTGGAGGACACAGCAGGGGAGACACGTGGGGCAGAGCGGCATGTGGAGGAGGGTGTGCTTGCTTCTCAGCTGTGGACATGCATCAGGGACTTGGGGGACTTGGAGAGATGCACAGAGTTGGAAACATGTAGAGACACTTGCAAGAGACGTGGCGAGAGACACACAAGGAGACTGACAATGGCACTTTATCTTGATTTTTACTTTTTCCTCCTCTCATCCCACACTTGCCTGGCCCCTTTTGCTCCTTTCCTATGGTTCCCTGACAGAAGGTGCCTCAGACTTGTGGCAAGCTTTTGGGCCTCAGCAGCCCCACTTTGGCCAACTCTAGCCTGGCATTTACTCACAAGGGGATAGGTTATTTGGGGTGTTTCATTGGGAAACTCTATCCTTTCTCTTCCCTCTGTACACAATCCTCTTATGAAAGATCTTCCACACTAAGAGCACGCTTTGTCTTTAAGTGGTGGGTGGCAGAATCCCTTGAGTATGCAGGTTTGGGAGTCCTGTGGTGCCCTTCCGACTACCTTTACTGTTTGGAGTTTGCCCCAGACCTTGCAGCTCCCTGGTCTGCCTATCTTCTCTGGGTCTCTCTTCTTCCTTCCTCACTTCCTTACCCTTCCATTTGATTGGTGCTCATGCTCCTGAAAATATCAGATGTCTCAGTGCCACAAATTCATGCTCTGGAAAGTGGGACTCGGGTCATAGAAAGCTACCCCGGAAGAAACATCTGGGACAGTGTGCAGTCTTCTGAGGAGCAGAAACCATGTTTCTCTCAGGGCTGCATCCCTGGAAGGCCTCGGCTCTGTGTCAGACCCTGGTGACAGGTTCTTGTGCTGTTTGGTTGAGCTCCAGGTCTTCTCAGATCTCCTCCTCAAGCCCCATAAAAACATGCCCTTTATGCTGCTCTTTACAGCTTTTCCAACCTCTTATCCTCTTACACCTTTCTCACCCCCTTACCCCATATGGAAAGAGCTGCTAAACACCACTACAAAGGGGGATGGAGACCAGTACACCACAGAAGCCGCACCCTACGCCATGGTGCAGGCCCACCTCCCTGTTCTCACCAGCTCACACAGGAGAGTTGCTTTTTCTTTCTTTCTTTTTACAATTCCCATTGAGGGGGCAGAACCTCTTTAACACCACACATGTGTACTGTCTGCCTGGCCCAAGATACACTTTATTTATTCAGAAGCTCTGTAGGGAAACTATTCATTTATGACTCATTCCCAGTGATCTAAAAGTGGGCCTTCTAAATGTCACTCTTTTTATTCATTTGGGGGAAGAAAACTTGAATAACCACTTTATATAATTCTCTGACTTCTTAGGTGGCTATCAGTCTACTTCCACCACCTGTCATCAAGAACTGAGCGCCCTCCTACCAAGGCCTCCTCCGAGCCTGTGGGGAGACACCTGTGCCCTGTAATCTCTCTGTTCACTCCACAGAGGCTGGGGGAAGGGGCTGGCTCTGTGCCTGCTGCTAACCACAGCTCTAAATTTGCATGTGTTATTCATTCAGCTAGTATTGACTGCTCATTCATGTGCAGAAAGGGCCTCTGATGGATTGTGGATGCAAAAATATTATGTCCAAGATGGCCAGTATTCTGGACTACCAGATCAGAGCATCTCCGTGAGGAAGCAGAAGTGAGACAGGAGGAGATATGGGAAGTGAAGGCCAAGGCTTCTGTGCAGATAGAAGAACAGGTGGGTGTTTCAAAGAACGTGTGGGTGTTTCAAAGAAGGGGTGGATGTTTCAAAGCTTGAGGTCATTTCATCTCCCACCTTCCATTTTGCCAGGTTTCTGCAAAGCATTAAAAGTTCTCAGAGCCTGAAAAGTCAGGCATCTTCTAGGCTTATTTAATAATACCAATTTGCTCATTCTGGTCTTCATTTTTAAGATATCTGCATAAATTTATTACCACTTTCTCAGGAAACAGACGAATTTGCCTTTTTATGCCACTCTATTAATTCCTTAAGGAACCTAGTGGCCTTGGACAGAAAAAGAAATCAGTTCTCCATGTTGAGATCATCTTTCTACAATTTTGCTGTGTCATTTATTTCACGTTCTTCAACACTGGCTTATCCTGTGATACCAAGTGTTTTCAGGCACCATGGGACACCAGGCTGAGAATGTGGGTGCACTATAGCCAGGAAACAGCCATCCTCATATTTGTGGTTTAATTATTTTTTTCCATGCTTTTCCGCCCAACTACTCTGTCTACTCCTGGAGGGAGGGGGCTGTATAACAGCCACAGAGCATGGAGTCTCACCTGCACCAAAATCAAATGAACCTGCTGCCCGCAGGCTGGTTCACCCGTTCAACACCACAACTCAGGCTTCTTGACGAGATCGACTCACCATAGGGGAAGAGGGACGTGGGATCAAGTCCCAGGGCCTCACAACCAGGCACGTTCTGATCATGGAAATCCTGTCGCAAGATGCTCAGCACCACCTCATCACTCATCATGTACTGCATGAAACGCTCGTCTCCGGATGGCACCCCAAACAGCAGGTGGTAGGTTATCGTGGCATTTTCACCACTGAAAGTAATGCAAGCAGAGACAGTAAGCAGGTAGAAGCACACTCAGGAAATGGACGTGAGAGTGAACATTTTTTCCTTCTGCTTTTTCCCTAGGCTACCGTCCTAAAAGAACCTTCTTCCATAGGTCCTCATGCAAAGTTGAGGTGATCCTAAGCTCCTCCTTCCACCAAGAACCCCTAGCCCAGGGAGAAGCTGTGGAAGGGAGCCACGTGACCCTGGATGGTGGAGGGTACAAGCTCCTGCCATCTCCCAAAGAAGGTCCATGGCCCAGACCAGTCTTCCCTCACCTCAGGCAGGCCGGGCAAGCCCTTTTCTCCTCACCTACCCCCTTTCCCTTGTTCTCTCACTACCCCCTCTGCTTGCCCCCATCAGCCAAGTTGGAGCTGTTTGCTTGAACTAGGTCATAAATTAACCTATAAAAAGTCTAAGGCAGAGCCAAAAGCTGACTGGTTAGCCCGGTGCAGCTGTCCTGAGCCATCCCAGATGGCCCTGTGTGCAGGCAGCAAATCCTGCTGTCCTGTCCTGTCCCCAAAGTGAGAAACCGTTTCTGTCCCACTTTCACTGCCCAAGGCTCCCAATTTGGCAACTCACAGTAAGAGATCTAAGAAAAGGGAGTTTTCATCTTGCTAGAACATGTTTTTCTCATTTTCAAAATAAAAATAATCACAGGGCTGTCCAGTTAATTAGTAGCTTATACAACTTGTTAAATGCTACCTCAACATTTAGGTTTTCACAGTTACTCTTTGGTTCAAGAAGGCCCAGATTAAGAGTCAGCAATATAGTAATTAAGATTTGGCCACATTTGAGATTCTCATCCCAGGGCAAGTTTTAGAGATGCCAATTAAAGGACATGTAAAGTGCGCCCTCTTGTGGCCAGAGGTGACTTGGCCCATATTCTAACAATAAAAAGTAGGTGACAATTCACTTTATAAACTCAAGCTAGAAGTATGCCAAACCCTGTGCCTTAAATGAATAAAACACATCAGGACTCTGGAGAAACTCATGGTTTTAAGAATGCCACTACACGCAGCAGTTGAGCGCTGGGTTGCGAAGCTGCCCGCAGCCTGTGCAGCGCCAGTTCGATCCCCGGCTGTTCCCCGGCCACCGGAGGAGGGTCCCACATGGCGCACAGACCTCTCCTGCCGCCCGCTGCTCCTCTCAGCAGTGTACTTCGGTCCTTCTGCCTGCTCTGCTCCCCGCTCTGGCTCTGGTGAATTCTCTCACCCTCCCGCGCTTCTGACTGTACCCAGTGCTTGTATAAATCAATCAATCAATCAATCAATCAATCAATCAATCAATCTTTAAAAAAAAAAAAGAATGCCACTACAAACATACTGAAAAATGCACTTTCAAACTCTAAACCTGCTACTCTGGTTTGTAGGTTTCATTACCTCTGCTTCACCTTCTAATTACTGCAGATGGTGGTCACCCAACAAGCAGCCACCCTGCACCCCCACCGGCAAGGACTGGGATGGTGGCCCAGAGGCTAACTTGCAGAAGAACTGAGTGAGAGGATTGGGCTGCCTAACTCAGACTGGCCAGCCCATCCTAGACCCACCAAGTCAGGTCACAGGGCGAATTTACGTCACACAAATTCCATGGGGAGAGAAGGATTTTCAGGGAAGCAGAGAACCCTGTGGCCTTTGCCTCAGTTGCCCCCTACTAGGATAGCTCTAGCATTTGACAAACTTGGCATTTTCCTAGGCTCCTGTTGGTTCCTGCATGGCACTGAGGTCAGTAACCCCTGGCACACAAATGCCTCTACCAGGATCTAGCCCTCTCCTGAGCCCTTTTGGAAGTAATGGCTTTTCTGAACTTAGCATTGGAGAAATTCTGACTGGAATTGTTTTTAATGAAAAACAAAAATGCTTCCAGACCGTATTTCTTTAATCAAAATACTAAAATTCCTGGGTCTTTCTTTCAAATAACTTCAAAAAATAAAACAACAGATACTCTAACATCAAGTCTTCAGATTTAATTTCACATTTCACTCAGTTTCCTGAAAGGTTTTCCCAGCCCCTGTGCAATTCCACCTCCCCAAAGTCCATAATATGGGGCTGGATTCCTGGGAAATTCTTGAAGTCCAGCAGCTTTCCTTTCTCAACACTGTCTTTGAATTGCAAATTGGAAAGCACACAGATGAAAGGGAGCTGGATCTACTGACATTTTAATGCCAGTAACTTCTGATTAAAACAACGATGTCATGCCGCTGTCCAAGATGTCACCAGGTGTTAATGGTGTTCATCGGAGGCCCATAAAGGAAGTGGAATAGGGCTGTGTTTTCAAAATTGAGGTCCATTTGCCCCATTTGCTTCCACCTGCTTTAGAAGTTTCCCTTCCCAGATGGACTAGTATCATGGTTTGGGAAATTTAGGGTTCAAGAGGGGTAACTTCCATATAATGACTATGTGTATGGAGGTGATTAACACATGCAGCATTCAAGGGTGATGGGGAAGGCGGAGGGAGAAGGGAGATTTGTCCTTAGTATATATACATCTTTACATTCTTAGTGTTATTGTATTACTTGTGATCCTCAAAAGCAAAACCATCACATGGACCTCACTTGATTCACACCACTGAGAACTACTTATACTTCGACCCATAGCCTATTTGAGCATCTGCTGTTAAACAGGAATGAGGTACCTGGAGTGGTCATCCTTTCTTCCCTGGCACCTTGTGGAATAATAAATAATCTGGGCTTAATTTTTTTTCCTTTGTAGAATAAGGAGTTGAGCTTGTTGCTCTCCTAACACCTCCCAGCACCAGCACCCCATGATTCTGTCTGTCCTTGGTTCCCTTAATGCCTTGAGACTCAAGAAGTCTTTCTAGGTAAATAGTGATGGGAATTGCTTTCCAGACTAAAAAGAATAACACTTAAGGTTCATGTTCTTACCTGATGTCTGCTATTTCAACTGACATAAAGTAACGACTCAGCAATGGTGATGAATTGTATACATTTGTGAGCTAAAGCAAAGAAACAAGAACAAACAAAACAGCCATACATTATTGCTGGGTCATATTGCCGCTTACCTGACATTTTACCACATTTAGTTCAACTCTTTAAGTAGCAAAACAAAGCTAAAGCTACTCCTCCACACTGTTCTGCTTCTCCTCCCTCTTGCCCCCTGACTGACCTTGTGCTGAAGCTGAGAGGTATGTTTTCTTGCATGTTTTAACAAACTTAATACTTCTTGTGTAGTCATAAAATCTACCATTGCATTTATATTTTAATTATTCTTTGAATATTTAAACAGGAAATATGTTTAAGTACTCTTAGCTATGTTTCCATATTCTACATCATCTTCTATCTTGCTTTTTTTCCACTCAAAATTGCCTCTGAGGGGCCTACCCGGTGGTGCAGCGGGTTGAGCGCAGCGCTGTGAAGCTGTCTGCAGCCTCTGCAGCACAGGTTCAATCCTGGCCAGCAAGAGTTCCACATGGCATGGCAGATCTCTCCTGTTGTGCCCACTGCTCCCCTCGGCATTGTGTTTCGGTCCTTCTGCCTGTTCTGCTCTCTGCTCTGTCTCTGGTGAATTCTCTCAACCTCCCGCACCTCTGGCCTGCACCCCAGTGCTTGTATAAATAAATAAATCTTTTAAAAAAAATTGCCTCTGAGACTTACGTATATGGTACATCTAGATAGAGGTTATCTAATCTGGCTCCTTAACTCCTGCAGATTCCAATGCTCCAACTTATTCATTCCCCTGTTGATGTCCCGGGCACTGTTTCCAACTTTCACCTCTTACAGACTATGCTGAATAATTTTTCTGGAGCATCTCTTGAGCCTCTCCTCCTGGGCGTGCATGTCAAAATTCCCCATGGGGATATGTCAAGAAATGGGCTCGCCGGGTCTATGAGCAGGTGCATCACTAACTCACCTAAATCTTTCTAAATTGATCTGTTTTACTCCCCCAACAATGTGTAAGTAGTCCATTCTCCACAGCTTTGCTGATATTTAGCATTAACAAGGATTCTGACCTGTGCCAATCTGAAGGGTATGACATTGGGTTTCACAGTGTTTTAACTCGCACTGTCCTGCTCGCTGGTGAGGCTGAATGTGTCTTCATGCATTTGTTTAACTCTAGGATTTCTCAGCCTTGAATTGCCTACCACTTTCATTTCCCTCTCTGTCTGAAGTGATTGGTGTTATTCCAGATACTAGTTGTTGGTTTTACATTACAAATATCTTCTCCCAGTCCTTGATTTGTCTTGTCATTATGTTTCAGAGATGTGAATCCTAACCTCACAGCTCTCAGGAACATGAGGCTGAATGTATCTAGTTACACTGCCTTGCTTTGCAGTTCACAATGGAGGGTTATTGTACTTTGTTCTTCAGCCTTTTGATGGGTTCCAGCATAAACTAGGATGGCTCTGGGATCTGGTCACAGTCCCCAGGATGGAGAGCTGGGCTAGAAGGAGCCCACGGCTAGATCTGAGAGATCAGACACTCTCCTTCCTGGCCTGAAGTCTCAGCCCTGATACTGTTCTGGAAACTTCACAGGCAACCAAGGACACCCTTGTGCTAGCCCAGCCATGTCCATTTTGCCTTAGTACCCCATAACTTATCCAGCAGTAAGCAAAACAGACCCAAAAGAGCACTATCCAGAAGGGAGCTCTGTCCAGCTTGGCACCCACCTAATTCCAGAAATGTGTCTCAAGCTGGTGCCCATTTAAATCACTGGGTGACAGTGCAGCCTCGTAAACGTAGAATAGGGAGTCTTAGTGTACCTCCAGTTTATACTCCTCTAATCTTATTATTGCTGTGATCTTTATAAGAACCTGACGTAATGATCTCTCCCTTTTTTAGCTGATAAAGAAAGCAGCACCCAAAAGGTGATAAAACTTTCCCCAGGTCACTCTACTAGGAAATAATTCAATCCTAGGTGTGACAGGCATAAAACCCACCTTCTTCGATTTGACCACACTACTCAGGGAGGAGGAAGCAATGAAGGGAAATGTCTCCTGAATATCCAGGATGAAAGAGGCATAAAGTGCCTAGTAAACAACAGGGTCACTCTTTAGTTCTGAGCCCCAGAGAAGAAAACATTGCCAGTGGGCCATAGTCAGTTAAGAAAACTAGCAAAGTGGCTTTCACAGAGCTACTCAGAACAGGGAGGAGGAGGATACTACAGAAGGGACCTCTTCTCAAGCAATAATGACAATAATGCCAAGTAAATTAGCCAGCAGGAGAAAGACAGATACCAGGCAGTTTCACTTACCTGTGGAAGATAGAGACATAAGCAAGAGTCAGACAACACCAAACCAACACCGAGGTCTAGAAATCTGACCGTAAAGCTGAGGCTACCAGAAGAGGAAGGATGGGCCAGGAAGGAGGGAGGGGGCACAGTGGACTCTGGTGAAGGACTATGGGTGCCTTGGCAGTGGGCACTGGTGTGGTGACATATACATGAAGTAGTAGAATCCTGTATTTATGAATCACATACAGTGTTGTCAACCAAAGTTGCAGTAATAAGAAAATTAAAAATAAACGATAATGATGATGATGACGAGCACGTCCCTGTCTTCCTTTTAGGTTGTTTTGTATGACGCGGATTACGTATGTCCTTCCTCCCAACCTTCCTTCCATCCTTCTTTAATCGTTAGGGCACAGCACTGTGTTTTTATTTTTGTTTTTTATTGGGTTAACATTGGTTTACAATACTGTATGTAATTTAGAGTTTTAGGGTCACACCTTTTAGGTGCATGTTCCACACCCCACCCACCACGTCACCTACAGTTCTCTGTCATAGACCACTGTTTTGTACATAGCAGTACAGTACATCAGTTTAGTGCCTTCCTGTAAGTTCTTTTTTGGTGGCATGGTGCCTGCTATAATTGAACATATTAACATATTTGGAAGCTGTTAATCTACTCTTGGCCCAAGGAAGTAAAATGGGGAAGGTGCTCCTCACCCCTTGTTCTGGTGTACCCCACACTGTGCAGGTGAGGTTGGAGGCACACAGGAGCCAGTCTGCTGATTTCCAGAATGGAGAAATCAGTTTCCAGAGTAAGAGACACTATCCCTGCATTCTCAGAGGTGCCACCACTGACTCCTGAATCAAGCACACCTAGGGCTACACACATGTCTAAAAAGCTGGCTTAGGCAAAGAAAGGACCCGAATCTGAAGAGACGAAAACTCGAGCAGTGAGCTAGGAGAAGGGCTAGGAAATCTGTTTTAAAACAAAAGCAAAACAATGATGGAAAAGAGGGGAACAGTGTTCCAATATCTACACCATTGCCTCCCATATCCAGAAACTTCAAGAAACTGGCTAAGTTCCTCATTTTTGTTCCTGAACATATCTGGTTGGGAAACTGTAGGATAGTCATCTCTTACTTTACTGAGCCTTATCTTTATCACCTGTAAATACGACAATTCTTTTTAAAAAAATATTTTGCACAGTTCTTTGGCTGCATTTCAAATGAACCTGTAAGTATACAGGGAAAGCACAGCGATTTCCATTTATCAGAGGAGGAACCAGCTCAAATAAGCTTGTGAATTTGCCCCTGGAATGACAACCAGCCCTAGCTCCTTTACCCCTAACAAGGCGATGAGTAAAAATACTTGCAGAATCTGTTCACATCTGACCGAAAGCAAGAGATAAGGCTCTTATGTGAAAGATCATATCATTTCCCTGTGACCCAGAAAGTCCAAGCTGTAACATGTGACTCATGTGGGCACTGACTCGTTTCGTTTCAGCTTGACACATGCAAAACCTCCAATGACAAAAGCAAGCAAAAGGAAAGCACCATGAGGCGATTTACTCAGCTATGTGCTCTGAAAGGAAAAAGAGAAAATAGGAACAGCTAGTAAGAAGGAACAAGGAAAAGGAGGAGGATGTGAAACCCTGAAAATCACCCCAGAGTGACCAAAGGCATGGGTGACCTAGAGGGAGCGTCTAGCCTTCTTCAGGAGCTTTTGGATGAATCGAATGGAAGATGGATAAAGAGGTCTCACCACATTCCATCAACTGCAGAGAACTGCGTAACGGATGGCAGGCTGGTGCTGCTTAGAATTTCTTATCAAAAACCTTTGAGGGTGTGGCTATGAGTCAACCTGTTTTTTTTGTTTTGTTTTGTTTTGTTTTTAAATTTATTTATTTATTTATACAAGCACTGGGTACAGTCAGAAGTGCGGGAGGGTGAGAGAATTCACCAGAGCCAGAGCGGGGAGCAGAACAGGCAGACTGACGAAGTACACTGCTGAGGGGAGCAGCGGGCGGCAGGAGAGGTCTGCGCGCCATGTGGGACCCTCACCGGCAGCCAGGTATCGAACTGGCGCTGCAGAGGCTGTGAGCAGCTTTGCAGCCCAGCGCTCAACCACTGCGCCAACGGGGAGGCCCAAGTCAACCTGTTTTTGACAGTCTGACCAGAGCCTCATATCAATAGAGGACATTTACCTTCCAGGAGGATGTGAACATTGACCCATGCGGCCACCCAACCAGGAGCCTGAAGTCACAGTCACGTTCTCCTGCAAACCTACATCCAGCCAGCCATTAGGTCCCAGTAAGGGAGAAGACCTTTGAAGTCTCACTTGAATTTTCTTATTCCCTCTGACACAGTCCTAGTCTGAATCCCCCTTGCTTATCACCTGGACTAAGCTGTCAGCCTCCAGTGTTTCTCCACCACCACACAAAAAGGCTAGAATGGAAAGATGACCCTGGGGACATGCAGATCACAATCTTCAATGCCTTGACAAAGAGGAGGAAAATCTTCATGACCTGACCCCTCCCCTCCTGTTCAGTGTCATCTCTGCCAATCCTCACCACACCGTGCACAGAAGCCATAGGACACGGAGCAGAACCTCCAGTGTCCTCTGCTCCTCGATTTACAACACCTGTCCTCCAGGAGGCCTGCCGCTCCCTATAGATCAGATGTTCCTCCTTCATGGTTATAAAACTATCTCAAAGATGGAACACAGCCCCCTCTGTCATAGTTATCTATATATTGCCCCCTCGCCTTGGACTGTGAGTCCCCAGCAAGGACACAGACTGTGGCCCTAGCACCTGACGTGCTGTTCAGCACATCACAGACCCTCAGTGAAACTACACGTTGAATAAAATATGGGTTGCTTAATGGTGTTTTGGTCAACAATGGACCTCATATATGACAGAGGTCCCAACAGGCTCTCCTATACAGCCTCGGTGTACAGGAGGCTGTCGTATCTGAGTGTGTGTAATTACACTCCGTGACCTTTGCACAACAACTAAATCACCTAGCCACAGGCTTTGCAGGACATACCCCATCGTTAAGCCTCATGTTGTTAAGGTCTTTATAAGGTCAGTGTCAAGAAACAAAACACCTCCCTCCAAGAGGCATAAGCTGGAGGCTGGAGCTCTTTGCCATCACTTTGTACTACAGAAAACACATTACTCAGCATCATTGTCTGCCAAAATCCAGAGAAAGAATTCCAGTTTGGATCTACCTGCTCTTGAAACTACCTGGCAGGTGCAGAGACCACCTCTGCCGACCCTGGCAGCAGGATTCCCAGCCTCGTGTCAGGAACTCAGACCAAAGCATAAGACAGCTTACTCTTTTAGTGAGCAGGTGAGATAACTCCTCTTCAGTTACACACTCATCTGGAATCTTCAGCATGACCAAGAATGTTTTATTGGAGGATAACTCAGGTATTTCGTTTTCATCTTCATCTATATATGTTACTAGAAAGTAGGGGGAATAAAAGAAAAAGTAAAAGTAAACACATGCACAAAGTAATACATGTATTTATTAATTTAGCTGCTATACTTTAAAAGGCAAACAACAAGCATTCATCAAGAATAAAGCCTGGACACAGTTCAAAGAATAAACAGAAAACACTTCTCTCTGTTAGAACAAATAAAGACAGGGCTTACCTCAAATGATACAAATTTAGTTTCTTGGTTTTATTTTAGGGTCCACAGAATATATATTGGGGGAGGGCTGATGACAAGGAGTGGGAAGAGCGTGAATTTCTTTATTACACTGAATCTGCACACTGGCATCAGGAGAGTGCTGGTCGGCAGTCTGGGGTGAACCATCGGTGATGGGGGACAGAGCACAGGTACAGGTAACTTCTCTGAGTCACCTTCAATTCTGTGCACCCGATGAGGAAGTGACCGCCTCTGTCAGAACAGAGCTGGGACTGGCAAACCATGGAAGGAGCGAGACAGGACACGTGGGACGTCATTGCAGGACTATGGCTCATGGAGAGGAATGTTGACACACTATTTGCAGTAGGGAAACCAAACCACACTCTAAGCCCAGAGCACTCCGCTATGTACATTCAGAGACAATGAGTTCTGTGTGTGGCTCTTTGTGTTTCAACAACTGTGAGCTAATTGATTTTTAAGCAATTAGAATTAAAGGAAAAACATGCCAAAGTCAGGGCCAGGAGCTAGAAGCTGGCACTAGCGGTATTAATTACGTTTGCGCCCTTGGCCTTCCGCCAGCCCCAAGAGCTGGCCTGCGCAGAGACCACCTCTTCAGCCCTGAGAAAGGCGTGGGTGGGCAGAACCACACCTTTTCTCTCACCTCTCATGCTTCAGCTATAACATGCTCAGCCCTTTTTTAACTGGACTTTGAAAAAACAGTGGAATCAATTCAAAGCTTTGGATGGCAGAGCAGGTGAGAAGAGCGAATTCTGGTACTTGTTCGCTGAGGAAGTCTGGGAATGTGAGGCTCGAGGGGCAGGCTTGAGGCTGCCAGCTTAGATCTTGTTTTGCCCTTGATCTTAGCCAAAAGTCTGAGAAGCAATGAGAGACCTTATTTTGTTTGACAGTAAAACTTAAGCCTTCATAGTAGAAAACAAGGAAGGTATAGGAAATTGTAGTAAAGAAAGACAAATATATGAGTATTCTTTAATCAGATTCTTCCCCCCACCCCCCATATTGTGTATGTTTGCAGTCGTAATGGGTAGGTAATTTGTATCCGGCATTTTGTAATTTGTTGCTGTCGTTGCTTATTTGTCTTGATTCTTTCATTTTAACACATCAAAAACTCTTCCTCATATTTTAAAGGCTGCATAATGTTCATAGTTGGATCATCTAATTTCTTAAATCTTATAGTCAATGCTACAGTTTTTCACTGTTACGAATAAAGCTGCAATGTATATTGTCGAGCTCCACATCCACCATGTACATTTCTATAGCAGGTATTCACAGTTTTGGAAGGAACAGGGGATACCAGATGATGGATAGAGGATTTGCATAACTCCTGAATACAAGAGCACTGAGAAGAGATGCCAAGTCTGAAAAGCGGTCTCCAACAATATCTCTAATGGCATCTACTTTTTTTTTTTAAGATTTATTTATTTATTTATACACGCACTGGGTACAGTCAGAAGCATGGGAGGGTGAGAGAATTCACCAGAGCCAGAGGGGAGAGCAGAAGGCAGATTGACGAAGTACTCTGCTAAGGGGAGCAGCAGGCGGCAGGAGAGGTCTGCGCGCCATGCGGGACCCTCGCCGGTGGCCAGGGACCGAACCGGCGCTGCAGAGGCTGCGAGCAGCTTCGCAACCCAGCACTCAACCGCTGTGCCACCGGGGAGGCCCCTAATGGCATCTACTTTAACTTTTATCTTCCAAATAATGAATCTGTACCAAGATCTCCCTAAATAGTTTTGTTGGTTAAAGTAACAACAGGTTTACTCAGTCAGCAGAGTGTTCATGTCACTGAGGAAGCTTCTTCAGAGCAACACTTTCCATTTAGAGATGTTGTATTTAAAAAGTTCACACACACAAAGCATACACAGTATAGGGGAGGTGCTCAAGAATACTTCTGTGGGGTCTTCCTGGGGTTAACGTCTCAGCACTATCAAGCAATCACCAGCCACTGTGGCATGAGTTCCATCTCTGGCCAGCGAGGTGACCCACATGGCTCAGCAGACCTCTCCTATCTCACCTGCCCCTCAGCAGTGTATTTCAGTAGATCTGCCTGTTCTCCTCCCCACGCTGTCTCTGGTGAATCTTCTCACCTCCCCCTGCCCTACATCCCAGTTCTTATATGCATAAATAAATAAAAATAAACCTTTTTTTTTTAAATGTAGAGTTCTGTGGATGGAATATAAGAAATGAGACCGGAAAAGGTGGTCTTAAATGCCAGGTATGTTCAGGAGGCAATGGAGGTTGTTAATTGTTTCCCAGGAAGGAAGTGGAGGTAGATCTGTGGTGATGGATGGGATAAAACGGGGCTGGGGGAAACTGAAGACAGAGAGTCACAAGGCACATGATTGTGAGAGACAGAGTTTGAGTGACAGTGGTGGAAGGAAGGACAAAGTCCAGTATAGTTGGTTTTAAAGATAATCATACTTTATTTGAACCATGACAACTCACTTAAATTTCGGAAAGTGCAACACCTATATTGTAGATGATGGCAGAAAGCACCAACATGCTTTCTGTTACCCAGCAGAGTCCTGGCAACAAATGGGTAGCAAGTGATGGAAGTTCCTATCAGGACACTACCCAGGGATGACTGATAAAATCTGCATATTACCAAGATACAGAAGAGATACAACATCACAATGGTTCGAAGAAACATGGTTCCTCACAAAAGGAAGAATAACTTCTACTGTCATGAGCACTACTTACAGATTCTCTGCTATGCGACTGTAGATATTAGCCTCTTGTGACCCTCACATCAACTTTATGAGTAAGATATTCCTATTTTCATTTTAAAATGAGGACACTGAGTCTTAAAGAAAATGCATTAGATGATTAACCTGGGACAAATCCAGGCCTTCTGATTCATCAGGTCCCCGAAATTGGCCATGTTGAAAAGATTTCTTTGTCTACCATGAACCTGATAGACTGCTAGCTTCTCTTCCATGGGGTGTAGGTAGCCCTGGCTCAGTGCCTTAAGCCTGGATTTGCCAGCACTCCAGTGGCACGCCAAGGGCAGAAGGAGGGAGGACACAGTTCAGGTGCAGGCAAAAATAACTTGATATAGCAAGTAACAAAGATAGGAATCTTCTAGAGACTTCTGTTTCAGAGCCAATTTATATTTTACAAATATAGAAACTGAGGCCAAGAGTGTAGAAGAATTTGCCTAATTGGATGGTGGCAAATCCAAGAAAGGAAAGCTGCCATCTTGAAAATAAATGAGGTTGCCAAGGGAACAAAAGGAAAAATGTGAAAAACAAAAAAGTCAGATGATCAGTCCATGCACCATAATATGGAGGCAAAAGCAGAAATAGCTAAAAACCTAAATTCTAGGAGTTCTGCAGACATAGAAGAATATAACACCTTTGACAGAACTGAAGGCTGCAAAAGGAGCAGAAGACAGGAGAGAGGCCACTGGGTTTCATGACCAAGTAGCTTCTAGTGACCTCAGGACAAACACTTTGGGCCCAATGGTGCAAGCATTGAAGGCAAGATCTGAATGCACACCTCCCATTCTAGAAGATTGCTGGTGAAAGAAAAGAGGAAGAAATACCTAAATGAAGTAGCAAGTTTCGGGTAACTGATTGTTCTGGAAGAGTCGATGCCAGCACAGCTGAATAGGTCTACAGTGTGATGAGGCGGAGGATGCTTAGAGAAGAAAGAACATCAGAGGTAGAACAAGCTGGAGAGGTGTTCCAGGGAAAGCACAGTTGACTATGTCGATTTGGGGAAGGTAGAGAAACATGATTTGAGGGAAAAGAGAAACAAGTAAAAATGCAAAAATAAATTTTCAAGGGTCTAGGCCTACACAGTTGCTATTATGTTCTCTTGCCCCAGGAGCTTGGTAGCTTATTACTCACTACGCTGTCTGCTTAGGACATTCCCATGAGTCACACTAAAACCAGGGCATACTGCCCTGTGCAACCCGTCTGTCTGCCAGGACGGTGTGATGTCATAAGATGTGGTGCTAATTCCCAACTCAAAGACAAAATAAATCTATTCAATACAGCAGCGTCAATTAGGAAGTCCAGACTGCATCTCAGTACCAGAGGACTCAAGAATGTCTTTATGTTAAGAGAGCAAAGGGAATCCAGGAATCTATAATGCCAGGGAATACCATATAAGGGTCCTTAGAGCGTTAAAACTGATGATCTTTAAGTCATATTTCTAAGTACCTACCTACTTGTCACAGTGTGATTTTTGCATCATTTAAAATAATTTGCCCAATCCAAGGAGGAGTTTCATTAGTAAGGTGGTTTGGGTAAAAGAGCGAAGAAAGCAGAATCCCTGAAGATTATTAACTGATCTTCCACATTATTCAGAATGAAAATGACTCAGAGAGTGGAGGCTTTTTTCCCTTACCCTTCACTCTGGGAATTTATATGTCCTTAGGGAGAAGGATCCATTAATACCATGTCCTTAGGGAGAAGAATCCATTAATACCATGTCCTAAAGAGCTGGTACAAAACCAGGCCTTCTCACTCCTTGCATCCCCCAAAATGGCCATGTTGAAGAGATTTTCCTTGTCTACTATGAAGCTAGGAGAGTGCTAGTCTCTCTCTCATAGGGCACACGTAGCTCTGGCTCAGTGCCTTGCTCAGTGCCATGGTCCTCAATTTGCCATTGTGAGGACCCTGCCCAAGTGCAGGCAACAACGGGTGCACAGCCTGTAGGGAATTAATACTACAAAATCTACCCCACGTTAATCTGCTTGTATTATCATGTGATGATCCATCTGAACAATGCCACTGATGAGCTACACCTCTCAACCTGGTAGTACGCAATCCCCTCTTCAACTAGCTGCCCTTTCTGTTCTGGCTTATATTACTGTCCCCTTCTATGCCTACTCCAGCTCCATGTTATTAGCTCCTCTCCCTCCGAGCTTCGGTCTGGGAACTAGATGGAGTTCTAAGCCAGGAGGTTAAGGATCTGGGAGGGAGGGAGGACCAAAAGGAAAGAAGGAAGTAAATGCACATGTAGTTCCTCAAGAACCTCACTTCTTCATGAATCCACATGTGCTCAGAAGTTCTACAGATATCTGTTTTGTAACAATGAACTGGCAATTAGGCAGTGCCCAGTTATTGCAGACTGTCATCCCAGAAGTGCCTACAGAGCTGCTTTAGGTGAGGCTGGGACTGTCACAGCATAGGCCCTGACCCCGCCTCTTCTTACCCCCTGCACGCAGGCACAGCCTACCTGACTCTGCACAGGCTCAAATCCCCAAAGGCTGAGGTGCAAAATAGACCACAAGTATTGCCCTGATATTAAAAAAAAAAGTTTGAAAAATCTCTTACAGAATTAACATTTTTTAAAGTACAACTTGATTGCCAACTTGAAAATCAAGTCTGTACTACAAGTGTTACAAAGTTCTCCCCTGAATATTTCCTATAAACTTTCACATTGTTCTGAGAAACTGCTGAAGGAAATACAGTCCCCTTCCTCGGCAGGCAGCTTTGTGAATGAAGAGGTCTGATAACTTTTTGAAAATGAAAACAACTCTTGGTGCTTATGCTTTATAATGCTGCATATTTAACCAACCAGATCTGTTGCATCATCCTTCCTTATAGGCTCCAAATGCAGACAGATAGGTCAGCTTTCAGGATAGCGCCAACTAGTGTGATAGGATAAGACTGTGTGACTCAATCTCAGTTTCAACATCCACATGTGGGAGTTGATGGGAAGAGGGAGTATGACTGTTCATACCATAACTGCTGTCCTCTGCTCGGTGCAGGAGCCGCAACACCTCTAATTAACTTCTCCTACCTCAAAACCAGCCTATGGCCTCAAAGAGTCACCCATCCCACCTCAGCACCACCCTAAGTAACTAAATAAACATGGCACCCGCCTGAGAAGCATCCGTGTCCTCATGGGAGTTATCTGTTCCTGTTTCCCTATCCCTTCAGGAACTATAAAATGTGGAGACAGGAGATAAATGGGTCAGAATGAGGAAGAAAAGGAGGTAAATGGCAAATGTAGATGCTGAGGAAAGTTCCCAGGAACCCTTTGAGAGACTCAGGGGTCCCCGTCCTAGCTCTCATCCTATGACTGGGTTTACTTATAAAAAGCCTAACAACCCAAATCCTTCTCGAGACCTGAATACCCTCAAGAGTATCCCAATTCCCCCTCCCAAAACAAGAGCATCCCAGATTCCCATCACTCCATCACTCCCAGATATAAACAGAATCAATTTTCTTCTTTCTGACTTTGAAATTGAAATGATTGCCCTCTGGATGATATTATATTTATTCATCATGAAAAATAATAGCGATAATTATAAACATTTGGTGACCACCTAAAAAGTTTTTAAATCATGTGGAAGGCTATATTATGCAGTTATTTTTTAAAAAAAGGTGTTCACAAATAATTTTTAATGAATTGCAAAATGATCTCAATATAACATTGAAATCCTAAAGATAGGCCACAGACTATGAAAGGATCTGACCTCAAATGACTTTAGAAATGAAAATGAAAAAAACTAGACTATAACAAAATATTAAATAACATGGATGGATTTTATCGGTAACTGCACATGTATTCTTATATTTATAATAAATAATAAAATATAAAATATGTAGCTAGCACCATGTAAGTATTTGATTTGTATATACATACAACATAAATACAATAATTTTCAAAATGAGTTTAAGTAATGATAACTTACAGATACATGTTTCTATAAAGTTTTTAAAACTTTCAAATATACATCATTCTATCATTATCATAACATACCAGGTATATCAGCTGAAACACAGTAATTATTTTTCCCAAACAAATTATAATGAAAAAAACCTCAAACAAGCAGGTGTTGAGATAGACCTGAATGAAATATAAATGTACATTTAAGTAAGTTAAATATGTAAGAAATCATCATGATCCAATGATCAGAGTTTAAAGTAAAACATTGGTCTCCACCCCTCTTGCAGAATTTACAAAACAAACAAAGAAAATAAAACTAAAAACAAGAATCATATGTATATATGATATTTTATTTATATATATATCTCTCCCACCCAGTTTTAAGTTCGTATTATTTATAAATAATTATAATAATTTATATAATTACGTTTCTATAGATGTTTATGTTTAAATAGCAAATAGTAAGTAGAAAATAATGGGTACATCTTCCATTTCAGTGTATGTCATAAACATTAAACAAATTCTTAAAATGTATGAGCTCAATCATGTTTAAATTCTCTTACCTCTAATAAGACATAAGCTTATGATGATCAGTATAATAAGACCTACGAAAATAGAGGCGATAGCCATCCACAGTCTGCAATTTCCAATCAAAATTCTATTACAGGAGCTCCAGAGGCCTTCCTTTTTAGTCTGGAAAGCAGAGAAAGGCTGTGAGGCAGTCATCTGGCAGCTTTTCTGAAAGCTCGCAGTGGGCTGTCAATACATAACCAGGTAGCAGGATCCTGACCTCAAGGGGCTACCCTCACTGAGTCAAGGTCACTGATAGGCATAACAAGGGACAGAATGGAAACTCACAAGGTGAGGAAGTAAAGTTCTAGGGGCAGCAGGAGGGCAGTGGGGGCTCTGAGGTAGGGAAGGGGAGGAGAGGTAGGACTTTGAACAGCAGAAGAAAAGCAAGAGCATCCCAAACCCTGAGAAAGCACACTTAGTGCCTACTCAGAATGGAGCTGACACAGTGATTCGCCTGATTGGAATGTGAGTTTCAGAGAGTTCAGATTAGATAGAGGGAAATGAGTTCTAGAGCGTTTTGAATGCTGCCACAGAGGTTTGGATTTGATTTGATTTGGTGTGACCTGGGGACTTGCGGAGAGTTAGGAACACAAAACCTGAGTTAAGGAAAAGAGAAAAAAAGAGAGTAGACACAGAAAAAGCTAAGTGGCTACCAGACTCTAGGTAATGAGGGCCTGCGGAGGAAAATGAGGGGAAGGACGCAGAGGAAGTCAGAGGCAGTGGGTATAATGAGGCATGTGGGGTCACAGTGAATAATTACACCTGTATGGTTTACTGATCCCCAAGTTGGCTTCATCCTGACAGCTCTTCCACGCAGGCATCAGCCCATTTCAGAGATACAGTCAGAGTGATCAGCCAGGAGTAGTCCCTGCTGTGTCACTGCGGAGCTCACATGCTGCCTTTCTATTTACCGCCCCCTGGGTCACCCTGCAGACCTCCAGCCACTCCCTCCCACCCCCCACCAGCTGCCACCGCGGTGCTCTGCTCTCAATGCTGCCACCAGCCTGCGAAGTCTGCTTGACTCTTCTACTTCCCCCTAAGCCACCAGGTAATTCCTACATGAAAATCACGGGAAGCAATGGAATAAGACAGGGGGAGGAAAGCATGTTTCTTTATCAGGAATCCAACCCCAATTACACAGCCTAAAGCCTGGGTCAAGATCAGCAAGACTGAAAGTCACTCACCCCAGTGTCCTCAACAGAAACATATTAATATATAAACTAGCTCACGGGACTGTGATAAAAACTAGAGATAATGGGCATGCAGCACTTGCTAAATAAATATTATGTACAAATGGGAGTGATCATTGCCAGTGTTCCCTACTCCCATGGAGTAGCAGGCACTGTGGGGTGCCTCCTGGATCCACTCCTTGTGTTGACTTACTTGATCTCCCAGAGTGATAGTGAGGAGGCCTCCAGAAGAGAACTGCTTGTCCGTATTAGGATCACAGTTCAAACTTTCTCAAAGAGAGGTTTCCAAACCTGATGCCCATCAGAATTGTCTGGGAGGAATTTAAACTACACATACTAGGTCCTCCCTAGACCTAAAGGACCAGATTATAGAGAAGGTGGGTCTCAGCCTGATAAAGTGACTGATCATTTTGGGAGGTGCAGTGTTCCAGCCTGGGGCCTGGGGCCTGCTGGAATCTACACCTCCCAAAGGAATCAGTCACTTTACCAGGCTGAGACCGCTGGTTAAAACCTCCTCACTCTTCAAGAGTCAGGTCTCCTTTCGTGGAGCCTCGCTAACACCTCACAGAGAGAAATCCCTCAGGAGCATGTGCTGTCCACACAGCTCACTGCCACAGCCATGGCCTGCTTTGTCTAGTTTCATGTTCAACTATACACAGATACGGGCCTTATCTCCCTAGGTAAACTACAACCACATAGAGGGCGGGTGGTTCTTAAACTTCCCTGTTCTCATATCTGTACTACTGCCTCTTTCAGGTAGGAGGCATTTCATAAATGTGTGCTCCTTAGCTACAGAGGATGCTGACATTTTTGAAGAATGTGCTTTGAGAAACTCTAGAGTTTCTTACAGTTTGGGGCTCAGCCTTTGGACCCCCTGAATGCATTTTACTGTGACTCTTCGGGTCAGACCTGAGGGGAGCAGTAAGGGTCCTGGTCTATATGGACAGAACAAAACCCTCTTAAAGTATTACCAGAAGTGAAGAAGAGAGCCCCTTCGAACCCCGCCAGAAGAATGAGAACTGTTCCCAAGCCACCAAAGTCAGGAGCATGGGGAAAAGAAGTCCCGGTGCAAGGGACTTTTTCCCCCTTAGGGGACAGGGACATACCTGGCACTCCTGAGACCAAAATGACCTGTGCCATTTTCAGTCCTTTGTATTAGCAGCAGTGGGGGCCCTACAGTTCAGTACAAAATGAAATGGCCCAGCGTCTCAACTGAGCCACAGAATGAGTGTCAACACACCTCTTTGGCCTCTTATGCCTTCACTTCTGCTGTCCCTTGGAGATCCAAAACCAGGACCCTAGTGGTTTGAGGAGACCCCCCACTCTGCAACTTCGTGGGGAATTTAGTTTAGAATTATACAGCTGTTATGTGTGGGAAAAGCCTCTTTCTGTCCAGTCCAGAGCCTTCATCCTACAGCCTGCCCCCCTTTACTGTCCTATCTCAGCCCTAAGGGAAAGACCATTATCCCCTGCATGATTAATATTCACAGATTTTAAGTAATTATCAAACAGTCTGTCAGTCACTCCCCAAGCCACAAATAGAGTGCTTTTCAGTTGCTTGCCCAATGCAACAATTAGAATTTTTTTGATGTGCCCCAGGTGATCCTGGGGTAAAGTGTGATACAATCTGTAGGTATGTGCTACCTGTGCTGAGTCTCCCCTCAAAACTGGATCGTGCAGACACACTGCCTCATTCAGTGGCTTCTTCATTCACTCTTGCTCAAATTCTAGGTCATGAGGAAAGGCCACAGGCAGGTTCTTCTGAGCATGCCTCCAAGAGAATTTTGCAAACTATATCTTACATTCCAAATGTGCATGATATGGTTCAAGAATCTGTGTGGCTTTCCTCCAAACATTCCTCCAGATACTCACATCCCTCTTCACACAAGGGTCCAAATACATGGCACAGGGGCCTGCAACAGTGACTCCTGATATCTTAGAGACAAGAAATTTCCCTCTGGTTGACACCATCAGCAGACTGTATATAAATCTGGGAAAATTTTCTGAGCACATAGGAAAATATGTACTTTGTAATCTTCATTGTAAGATTTAATCTGGGCCTCCCTGGTGGCACAGGTGGTTGAGCATAGCGCTGTGAAGCTGTCCACAGCCTCTGCAGTGCCGGTTTGATCCCCAGACGTGGAGCAACCCACATGGCACAGCAGACCTCTCCTGTCTCGCCTGCTGCTCCCCTCAGCAGTGTATTTCAGTCAGTCTGCCTGTTCTGTTCCCCACTCTGTCTCTGGTGAATCCTCTCACCCTCCTGTACATCTGGCCTATATCCCGGTGCTTGTATAAATAAATAAATCTTTAAAAAAAAAAAAAGATTTAATCTACTTGTTGATCCAAGCACAGAGGAGTCCGTTGATTCTTGTCTTAAATTCTAAGCAGTGTGTAGCAATGGGACTGATTTTTAGCTAGCCCACTCATAAAAGGTTTGACTGCCTCAGAACTGTCAATTATTATTATTTTGAATATGTTACATCCCTTAAAATGTCTCTGAGACTTTCATTTGGAAACCAAGTCGAAGTCCATATTATGAGCCATAAAAAACCAGTCTCAATCTATTCCCACTTGTTTCTTTTCATTTTTAATCTGACCACAGTCACACTGACAGTGACAGCAGGCAAAAGGAAGCACGATGGTTTACTTCCTTACCTCCAAGCCTCAAATCCAGATAAAAAAGGGAACAAAGTTCTTTTTACTAACTATGAGTATATAAATTCTAAGGTCATGAAAAGGTTCTTGGAAACTGCAATTTTAAGTGAAACAACACATAAGAAAGCAAGTGTTGGGATAATGTTGCTTTAGGTCATGTTGGCCTCAATTTTTGTTTTCTCATGAATGTTATAATGAAACGATTTTGAATGAAATGACATTATTGGAGGACCAGGATACTGTCCCAGATTAGCCCTTCCAAGTAGGGAGATACTCAGAATATGGGCTGTCTTCTTCCCAATGACCCCAAACCTATTTTCTACTTCTCCATCTACTCACCTCCTTCAACTCCTCATATTCCACTGAAATTCTTTGCCCTACGGGAATTATAAAACTGTAATTTATGCAATTATACATGAATATAAATTATATATCATATGCACATATTTAGATTAAATGTAATATATAGATACCTATAGGTAAAATAAATCAACAAAATTAGCCAATGTTTGAGATTTAAAAAGACTTGAAATTCGAATGTCAGCACCACCCCTGAGTGAACTTTTGGAAATTCCTCTGGGTCTCAGGTTCTTCTCGCAGTTTCTTCAGCTGTCAAATCAGAATACTGAAACCTTCCTCTTAAATTTGTTGTGATAACTATATTTATGTATCAGAAGTACTGGGAACTTAACAGGTACAAAATAAAAGGTTAATAAAAATATATGGACTTAAACTGTTTCAAGACTGGAAATCATAAGGACGCCTCCACATAAAATTTTTAGAGTCTAGATCCTATGTCTACGTCAGTCAAATTTTACAAAACTCTACACCAACTGACTTCAATTTCAAATACACTTTGACTTAATCTATAGAACCAAAGAGAATGACTAACACATTTTAGATGAGTTTTTCTCCTTTCCTAAAGTTTTGCCAGACGAAGCATTTTGAGAATTCCCCCAAAGTGCTCTTTTAACCCTTCACCATCACGCCATCCTGACTCTCACCAAGCTCTGATTCCATGACCTACAAAGCTAATTCACAAGGAAGTCTAAGCTACCTGTGTACACCTGACCAACAAGTAAGTCATTAGACCGTGAAAAAGCAATTTCTACTGGGTAGGTTCTAGATTATTATAAAGTACTGATACCACAGTGCATGTCTTACTACTCAACCAATTTCAGCAAGGCATTCCCAGACCTCACAAAACAGGTTAGTCACATTATCACCGGTTGATAGCTGGAGAAATACAAACCTAGTCCCTTGCCCCAGGACACACCTTTCAGTGGTAAAGAACTCTGACCTTGGATTTGGTCCTTAACCACAGAGGCTCTGCAGGGTTCTGGGTCTAACACAAGCCAAGTGTTCCAAATTCCCATTCATAGACTCTTCCTTGGAGGCTTGATATAGGAGTCCACTCCTGGCCACTTAACAAGGGACTAACTTCGATATTTCTGTGGTGTTCATCTTTCATTCTAATATAAAGTACCAAACTGTTCTCCAGGGTACTACAGAGATCTATAAAGACAGCTACAGGGTATTTCCAGAAATCAATGCAAAAGCAAAAGCAGTGCTTTCAATGTTTGCATTTCCTGCTCATCGATGAAATCAACCCTTGAGCAGTCAAAGGAGTGGGGATGGAGGACCTGGGACCTACAATGTCCCAACCATGTGAGTGAGTGAGTGTGGGGAGAGGGGTGTGGCAGGGAGCACCCCATGTACTCAATAAACCTCAACAGTCTAAGGGGTTAATCAAAAGGTAGAAGGCTCAGAATTCAAAGTCTCTGCTGTTTTACAAGCATATGATGAGAATGAATAATGTTCATCACTGCTAGGCATGAATCAGAAAAGAGCTCAATCTAAATAAACAACTGAAGGACTCCCTTAAGGACTGCAATGAGGCAAAAGCAATTGAGGCAGAATCTAGCCCTATGGTTCAAGAACCTTGAAATGACTTCCTCCTTTTAAGCAGGGTAAATTCATTCACCACCCCTTTTTATTCTCCCCTCTCCAACTCTCTCCTGCGAAATTAAGTGGCCAAATTAGCAAACAATAGAAGGTGTGTGCCTGGGGATGGTGAGCTGAGACGGGGGGTGGCAGAAGAAGAGAGGGTTAGTGAGCGAGTGAAGGTGGATGGAAGTGGAAGGCGGTGAAGAAGAGAGGAAGTGAGATTCTAAAGAAAAGAGAGCAATCACTCCAGTTCTCCCTACTGAAGGAGAAAAACAAAACAAAACAAAAATACGTTACAGAACTCTTTGAAACCATCTCTATCTCAAGATTCTCTCGGAAGAAAGGCGCAGTGGCACACCTCACAGGTAGGTCTCCGCAAATCCCACGGGGCTCGACGGCTGTGGGTGAGCTCCAGGGGTCTCGGCGAGCTCAGGCTGGAGTTGATTCCCATGTCCTCTCCAGAGAGAACGTTCTGGAGCACACCGCCCGCGCTTGGCACCTGTAGGGCCGGGAGAGCTGGCTGGAAACCCGAAAAGCTGTCGGTGTCCGCCCGGGACCTGGCCGGCAGCCCGGCCCGAGCGCGATCAGGTAACACCGCCAGCGCCCTGGGGATCTCACCTGGGCTGGGCTGGGCTCCTCGGCGGAGGGAGGCTCGCTCTGGTCTCCCGCATTGAGAGGCGTCGCTTCTTCGGGCTGCTGCACCTGGAGCTCCAAGAGCTCCATCGCCTGTGAAGTCCGTAGCAACTCGGCCTCCTCCACGGCCAGGCAGAGAAGGGTTTCCCAGCCCGTCCGGAAGCAGGATGCGCTCGCCGCACCCCAGGGTGCGGAGTCCAAAGTGCGAGCTCGCCCTGGCGGGCGGGGGCAGGGGTGACCTCCCGCAGCGGGGGCGGGGCGGGGCGGGGCGGGGCGCGGGGCTCCAGCTGCAGGCACTCGGGCGCCCGGCGCCCCGCGCTCCCGCTGGCTGCAGCTGCAGGCCGTGCCGTGGGCTCCCGAGCAGAGGAGGGCTGTTTTTCTGGTTTGTTCAGGGCGCTGTCTGCTCTGCCTTTCCCTGTCGGAGCCGATGCAAACCAGAAGCCGAGCGGAGAGCCTGCTTGGATGGTAGGCTGGGAAATGAATGGGCCCGCGAGCGCCGAGCTAGGAAGAAAGTTGGCATTCTACCCGAAGAGCTGCAGTTGCCAGCGCTTGCCCCAGCTTTCGCTGCTTAACAAAAAAGTTCATTCATTTACTCACCAAGCAATGATGAAGCCTCTCCAGCGTGCCAGGCACGGTGCTATGAGCTGAGCATCTGAAGGAGAACAACCACGAACACACTCGTACAAGGTCTGACTCTGGACATGTTCTCCAAGAACTGAAGCCTGAAATCGCCTTCCCTCTCCTCTCCCCTTCCACCCACATCATAAAACTACTGTTTGCTGTCACAGGCACATCTAAACCAGATCTCCCAAAGCCTGCTAACGTTTGTGGTATTCTCTAATCTAGACTCAGAGGCATTTTCAGAATTCCAACAGCCTGGTCCTTGTACATAGTTGACAAACCTGTGGTCGCACAGTTTCTGGAGATGTTTTAGTTTCTGCATCTTTTTAGGTAAGGTGTTTTAATGTCCATGAACTTCCTTCTTTAATGTAAAATGATTCCTCTCAGTTGAATTAGGAGGATTATGTAATTATATAAAGCATTCATTCCTGTGCCAGACCAACAGCAGTCTCTGTAATGCACCCTTATTTTCCATGTTTAACTTTCTTTATTGCTAATACCACTCACACCCAACTCTTAGCACTGGCAATAATCCTTGATCAGGATATAATCTTTTGATACTGACTTTTGTCATGTACTGTCATATTTTCTTGATGCTGACTCTTGCCTGTGTCTCACCTGGAACTAATTTCTTCATCTCCAGACAGCTGACCTAGAATGCACGCCAGTGTCCCACCCCCTACTTGAGGAATTTTTCTTCCCGGCAGTCAGTCTGATTCTGTAAATTCAGAATGAGTTAGAATTCAGACAATGAATTCAGAATGAGTTAGAAAGAAGTGTTCCTCCCTGTAGGTCGACCAAGTTTAACTTAATTCTTGATGAAAGTTAAGGAATGAAGACCCAATTCTACCTATGAAATTTCTTCAGAATCCATATCTATGTTGGTAGCCTTTTCAAACTGCATTTTACTTTCATAAATAGTTCTCTTTGCTTCTTTTTAATGTACTATTCTTACATAAATAGCATTTTTTCATATAATTTGAAATTGTTGCTTTAATTTGTTCAAGGACTCATTTAAATAGCATTAAAAATAAAAACTGACTTTTTATGAAGTATGCATTGCATGGCTGACCAGTATAAAATTTTTAATTTTGCTTTTTTTTAATTTTTTTTTATTTTTATTTTTAAGATTTATTTATTATTTATACAAGCATTGGGTACAGTCAGAAGCGCGGGAGGGTGAGAGAATTCACCAGAGCCAGAGCGGGGAGCAGAACAGGCAGAAGGACCGAAGTACACTGCTGAGGGGAGCAGCGGGCAGCAGGAGAGGTCTGTGCGCCATGTGGGACCCTCCCCTGGTGGCCGGGGAGCAGCCGGGGATCGAACTGGCGCTACAGAGGCCGCGGGCAGCTTCGCAACCCAGCGCTCAACCGCTGCGCCACCGGGGAGGCCCTAATTTTGCTTTTTGTCATAATACTTTGTTCTCCCTTCTTCTTTCCCTAATGGTTATCTTATAACCCAAAATATAAAGTAACATCATCAAGGTGCAGTCACCAAAGTATCTCAACACTTTCAAGTAGATTTGTGCCTCTGAAAGCATAATATTTTATGCCCATAGTTGGCCACAGTACTACTTGAACATCAGCAATTGGGCCAGCCACTCAGGTTAACCAAGTAGGAAACAACTGAGAAATAGTAGGTTGGCTTGTGATGTTTCACTTTGTAGTTTTCAAGGCACTATGAAGGAGGGGGTGAGTTCAAGTTTTCACCCACTGATGCATAGAAATGCTCCAGTCTTGGTTTATAGTTGCCATTACACTCTGCAGGCTAAACCAGTCTTAGGACTTGTCTCTACCCACACCTCTGCAAGAATGAAATGAATATTCCCATATCATTCAGATTGTAATATTGGCATGATAGCCAAATAATTTTGTGAAACACCAAATAGGTTGGTGTTTCTTAACCTTTCCTTTCCCCCACCTCCTGCCTGCACTACTGCAGAACATGGTACACTCACATGAGCATCTGCATGGCTAAGAGTGGTAGTTGGTATATGCTTGAAGAACTCCTTCGATGAATGTGACCAATCATACCAGCCCTCCTCTAAGTCCTAATTGAGATCACAAAGTTATGTAAAGGTTTTGATGTGTTTTCTTGAATAGCAGTTTTTCACCTTAGAAATGACCATAAATAAAAAGTACAATTCACCTTATGCCTAGGTCACAGCCCAGAAAAAAAGTAAACCTAGGTTATATAAAACTATCAGTCTAATTTTCTCTTCTGTACAATCTTTCTTTGAATTCAGTGGTACAAGTGACCCTCCAAATTACACATAGCTTATTTACTAATTCTTGAATGATGTATTTAGAAAGGTATTAATAAAATATTTTATGATTTTTCTAAGGTAATCAATCTCTTGGCAAATCAATATATGTTCTGTGAAATGGAAAATATTCATTACCTTAGGAAAATCATATTCAAGATTTTAGTCTGTTAGCTCTGGAGTTTGACACTGCTTGCTCTCTCTTCTTTTGTTGTTACATTAAAATTTTCCAAGGTCTACAAAAACTATTTTCAATATTCTGGGCCCTACTTTAAAACAGTATTGTTAAAAAAGTAGTATATTACTCCTTTGATTTTGTCACAGGAAAAACAAATTATATCATCCTTCTTCTCCCTGCTCTTTGACCTGTTTGGTGGTGGTATTAAGTCTGGTCTGTTAATGAAAGTATTACTGTGAGAAAGTCAAACTGTCTAAATCAAGACAAAATAAATGCATAACTATGAATTGAGCATGTATAACAAAGCCCTGAAAATAAAACAAAGTCTTGGTTACTGGAGTTTTATTATTAAAAAAAAAACCCAGAAACCAAATGATAATATTTCAAAAAAAATTTACTTTAAAAGAAATTACCAAAATATTTCCTTGCCTTTCAACTGCTGACCAGCTTTACCACAATTCCCTTAAATCCCCAACTATTGGGACTCTCCATTCTATCATTTTAGTGAAGATTACTGTCAGTTTGGTTGGTTGGTTGATACCTTTGCCTATGCACAATATTACCAGGTGCCTGGTCTAAAGAAAATCCACTATGGTGTGATTAGACAAAACTGGATTGGAAAGCAATAATAATCCCTAGTAATTAACTTTATCTTTATTTGCATTTGTGGAAATATTTTTATGCATTTCATTTCATGAGAACCTAGGATCAGGCATGATTTTTAATGTAATTTCTTAATTCAATAAATCACACTTTCCTAAATCCTAATAAATATCTGTACCTTGAATGGGAATATGATATATGGATATGTGAGTATCTCATCTTACTTTAGAGACATGGTTCATGATAGTAGTTTAGGCTCCTTTCATTCCTGAAGCAATGACCATTTAATAAAAATCAATTTAAGGCTATTTACAAGTGAATACAGCTACATAATTGAGGAATTTCTATGGAATAAATACATATTAATTTCTGTCTTTCAATAAAAACCCTATTTATGTAATTTGAAATTTCCAGAAGAAAAAAATTAAATGTCTTATTTCATTGATAATTACGTCATTCTTTTTTAAAGACTCTATCACATAAAATATAATCGAAAGTCCAACTTGTATGATCACAAAAGAGAAGGGACATATTTATGAATCCAGGGAACAAAGTTTGACACCCTTGTGTAAACACCAGGAAAGTTCGGTCTTCCGCATCCATGTCCCCAGCTAACTATACCAGTCAAAATCCATCTTCCATCACTTTTTCTTCGACAAGATAAAGGTCCACCAGAATCTCCCTATACAAGAAGACAATGTCAGTATGAAGTACAGTTACTTTGTCACTAATGTATCTATTGGATTGCTTTCAGAACGCCCATTCTGATGGATTTTGTTTGGCTAATTACTATGCAATCTGGGGAAATCTCAAGAAATAATGTGAAATTCCTAATATCATAATTGTAAAATCATTCTTCCTAAAATCATAAGACTGCATTTACCAAAGAAACTTGATTCATTAGAAGAAGAATAACATTAGAATATTCTTGGAGGGCAAACAACTCTCACACACACAAAGAACACACCTCAAATAGTAATAATCATAAGTGTTAGCATTGAGTTATTGCAAGCTGTGCACTAAGCACAGTGTGGGATCCCTTAGCCTTCACATAACCTCATAAGGCAGGGCTATGCTGGAAGGTCCTCTCTCCCTGGGCCATGCAACTTCAGCTTTATGTTCATAGCCCGGAGGGAGGAAGATGAAGAGACCCTTCTAAATAGCCAAGTCCCAAGAAGCAGCCTAAAGGGTTACTAACCAACAACTGTCACAGACAAATCTCCCTCACTTGAGAGTTCCTACTGATACCTCACCTCCACAAAGCAAAGTCACAAATCGCAAAGTTTACAAATAACTCCTACTGTATTTCTTCTTTACATTGTAATGTCTGGGTTTTGTTTTCCTCTTTGGGAGGATAGGTAAGCTGCATGTACTCAGAGGCAAAGATTTAAAAAGCCTTCCAAATTTGCCCCAAGCCCCCACCCCCACATTTCTAAACTGAGCTAGGTAAATTCA